CAGTTATTTGTTTCTTTTGGTTTTCTTTTTGAAATGTTACTCAAAGTGCTGATAAAGATAAAGATAGAACAATCAGAAGAGAGGCGCAGAGCCTCCTCTCTTCTGATTGGCTCACTGACCTGTTGTTACTAGAGCTCCAGAGAGAGGAGATGTAACACTACGTTGAAGATGGTTTTTGGTTCTTAAAACCACAAATATATCTTCTTATGGATCAACACTTTAAATAAAACACAAGAGAAGAGGAAAATATGGGACATTTAAATATTCCTGCTGCACATTGTTTTGCAACAGCAGCTGTTTGTTTATTTTAGAAAGATTTAAAGCGGTATATGAAATATGAAAGGCAGCAGTGAATATTTAAAGCTGCTTGTCAGTATTTTTATGTCAGTATTGATTGGGTCGAATACCATCTGTAATCTGTTGATTGTAGTAACAGATCAACAGAAAATGATCAGTTCCCTTCCGTTCTACAGAGCATTTTAGCATCTTTCAGCTCGTTCTTTTGCTTTTACAGTCTGCAACATCATTATTTTAAAACTTGTCTCTAGCTGCTGCTTTCAGTGAAAAACCACCGATAAAGCAACTGCACACTACCAGCCACACTAAAAATTAGATAAAGTTAATAGCAAATATTTCCCTCAGAAGTGGGTGGAGACCAGAACAGAGCTAAAATGAGAGTGAATATTGGATTTTTCTTTCAAAATGACTCTTTTCTTTCGTTTCTTTTTGCTTTAGTTGGCTGAATAAATTTACAATGTAGAAGTTGTGTTTACAGCTTGTTGTGTTGAGCCCAAGTGTTCGAAAACAATCTAATAGGCCTACTGCTGCTTTAATCTTCTTATTGTGTTCATGTTGAGTGCTTAACGACAAAGCAATGATCACCGAATCAACAAAGATGTCAGCAAAAGATGAAAAACGAAAAAACAAAAAGTTTGAGAGTATCACAAAATCTTAGCGCAAAATCCGCTTATGAATATTCCAGAGCTTTCAGCCTCATCTCATGGCTTGTAGAAGGCACATGGAAAACCCTAAAAGGTCCCTCCAGTATGACACATTAATTATAAACTGCTTACAACACCCACAGGAGGCGCCACCCTCACATACAAACTCTCACTCTTCGTAAGATGTTGCATCACATATTTAACCTTGCCCGCCATGTGTCAGTGCTTGGAAGTTGCCTACAGCACACATCTTATTTGAATCATAGAAGGGCATCTTGTATCTCAGATCTGTGGGATTTGATGTTTCAGAGGAGGGCAGATTTAACAGATATTACTTTTAAATCACGTCGCTAATGGCCAGCAGCTGTATCTGCAAAAGGTTATGGGATACTTACAAAGTATCCCATTTATCCCAATGATCTGGGCTATAATTTGAAAAGCATGGCCTTAAAAAAGCTTTAATAAACAATAAACATCCTCTCATCCTCAGTGATTGTCTTGCCAGACTCCACCCACACTGTGTGACATTTGGGACTTGTTATCTGGATTTTTTCCTTTCCACTACTGTCAGCATCTCGCAGAGCTGAGTCTGAGGCTGCTGCTTTTCCGACAATCAGCACAAGTTTGGTTTAAACGTAGCTGCAGAAAATGTCTGACTCGAGGCAATGAAGTCACTCATAACACACGTGTGAGGAGCCGCCAAGTCACACAGAGGAGAGGAAGGATGTCTTTGTTTGAGTAGGAGATAGTTTTACTTCTTAAAGCTTCTGAATACAATCTGACTGAGGGTTTTGGTGCACTTATTGTATTGTACGGGTATAATTATTAGCTTCAGACGCAGTATTTTCATTTTCATTGAGTTCAATTTCTCTTATTCCTAAAAGATATTGATAAAATGAATGCACTGAGAACATTTCGACAAAGAAAGTAACCTTTCTGCCCTTTTTCTCTCTGCTACAAGAACAAAATAGGAGTTCATTTATATCAAGAAAACCAATTAAAGGCTGAGAGAGATGGAGCATTTTTGGTAATTGTAGTATGATTACTGAAAATGAACTTGCTCCTGAACAAAGCAGAATTGTTACTGTCAGATATGTTAATGAATAACTCATTACAACCTGTCATTAGTGAGAACTCCAGCAAAAACTTGCCAACCAACAACCACCCACAGTGTTTTCCTGTTCTTTTTTTATACTGTGCAACAGAACAATGGTGATTGTTGTTTTTTTTCGTATATAATATGAGGCTTGAACAAAACGAGTATTTATTTAAGTCTGACAGATGACATTTACCCTGGGACACTGGAACAAAGGCATGCAAGTGTTTTAGATACACAGATACACAGCCTGCGTCATACACTGTAATTCTTCACAATTTAAAGTATAATTTGTTGTGCTAACAGTGTGGCCTGTATTGTACTCCATAACAACAATGAGCAGCAACAACAGTATCAATCTATATACCACTTCCGGCTGCTGAAGTCCCCTGTAATTACACTTTACGACATATACAGTAACCTATATCAAGGCTAGGTCTATTCTCTTTTATCCTGGACCAAAAGAAAAACATAAATGTCCTCTATAGTTATTTGGTAACTACCCCAAACCTATAAAAGGAACAATGTAGTTTGTTTGCTACCTCAACCATGGGGTTATTCTGTTTGTTTCTTTGTCAGCAGAAATACACAAAGAGCACTGAACCAAATTGAACCACACTTGGTGGAGGGTGGGGCACGGGTCAAGGAAAAACCCATTAAATTTTGGTTAAAGGGGCAGATCCAACAAACTTTTTATCACTTTCTTTAACATTGCCAGATAGGCAATTTTTTGACCTTTTCAACAGTATTCGGCCTTGGTAGAGGTATGTGCTCTACTGAGAGCCATTCTAGTCTTCATGTTGATATTTTTGTTATAAGTTGTACCCCGTCATCCTTGTTGAGTAGTCTCTGGTAATACATTCATGAGGCACTATAAAACTCATCTTCTCCCAAACCACCACCTTTGTTGCTCAATAAAGGTCATAATATTAGAACAGGAACATGCAAAAAAATACCAATAGTATAAATTCTTTACAAAATTCCCAGATTGTCACACCCCACCCCCACATATTGTTCTCCTGTACCTACATGTATCTATCAGTGCATTCAAAAATACTAGCACGAAAAATTAGACTCTGAATAGGGAAGAATTGTTCTGTACATTAAACATCACCAAAAAATGTTTTAGAAAAATACAGTTCACTGAAATAAACAGCAGAAGCATGCCTGCTTTTATGGGACACATTAAAATACAGATAGATAGATAGTGAAGGTGGGTTCTAACACAGTTATCAGTGCTGTACCCATTAAAATTTAAATCAAGAGAACTGCCACAGTGAAGCTCATCTCATCTATCTCAATCAATTTTTTTTTTCTAATTTGTAATCATTGCACTAAATGTTTCCTGGAGAAGCACTGCTGTGTTCTGTGCTTTTACTTACTTTCCCATGTAGTAAATCTGACATAATATTTACTCTAATTTGCCAAAATGAGGCCATGTGCTGACAACCATGTCTTCCCTTATATTTGTGAGCCTTTGACTCACAAAATCTCTGTATAATTAAATGGTATAAAGTTAGTTTTTCTAGCTTTAAAAACACAAAGTGAGTAATAAGTTAGAAATGTACCTTCACATGTATTCCATGAGAACTCCACAGTTACTAGTTCAGCATTTTTTGGAGATGTGTATATTTGTTTTGTATCTGAGAGATGAGTATTGAAGGACATGGTCAGCCTGGCTAAACATAATTACTGGAGTCAATGGGAAAGAGCTTGCCTGGCTACAACCTACCAGCAGCTTAAAAGTTGTTTTAGTTTATGTGCCCATACATGAACATGAAATGACAATTTGTGATTGTGGGAGTTGTGTTGTAACTAATTTTTGACAAACAGCAGTTATCCATCCAGATAAAGTTAGCACAAGTTTTGGTTTTGGTCTTCGTGCTGGCATGAGGTTACCAAATTTGGCTGTGTTTCACTGTAAACAGAGAGCAAACAGTGTTTTGCGCCAGTGCGGACTTAGACCACAATTTGCAACAACGATTTCCTGTGCCTAGATGTTCATTCAAAACATGATTTAGCACTGATTCCTGCAGCCAGAACAGAGCAGCATTGTTAGTGTTTGTCCAGATTTAACAGAAGCCATATCGCTAATGGCCAGCAGATGTGTCTGCAAAGGATTATGGGATACTTACAAAGTATGCCATTTATTAAAAATGATCTGGGTAAGAATTTAAAAAGCCATATCTACCACATCTACTGTACTACTACATAAATTTAGTTAGCAGTAGTCCTACAGTAATAAACCATGCTTCAATGTCAAATACAGACCTTGGTTAAAGCAAGAATTTTTCTTTTTTCTTTTTTTTTTTACCTGCTTAGTATACCAGATAAGTGTTGTGGCACAATGAAGACATGTACAGTTAGTGTCACAATCCTATTACAGTACATGTCAATACAGGCCACATTTCCCAGCTATTGTATTGTTCCCTAAAGTGAAAATGTGTTTTCTTTTGTTTTTTGAGTTTTAAATATCAACCACAAGACATTAACCTGTAACTCGATGAGACATTAAAGTCATTTTCCTTCCAGAAACACACTAATCTCTTTTTACTGGGGTGAACAGCTGGGATTTGTCTCATCTCTGGCTACAAAGCTCCAGTGCTCCATGTTTTTTAACATATGGTCTTTTTCTTTGTAAAAAAACAAACATGAAAACAATAAATAATGGCACGATTTTCTCCCTACATTAACACCAGATTTGATAATACTCTATGAAGACAAGCAGCTAAATGACATGATATTTTTTCCTATTTATATTATGCCAGATGTTAAAAAAAATCTGCCACAGGCATGAAAGATTGCAGATTTTTGTGCTTTTACATTGTTTTGTTAGCTGGAAGGTTGCCTGCTTTGAAGCCTCTGAGTACAGATGGTTACACTGAATATTTATTTTAAAGAAAGAATGTGCACTTGTTGAACTGTGCTTTCACTTTTCCATATTTCCAACTTTGTCTTTTTAGGGAGCTGAAGACCAAGATTGAGAAGGAAGACACCAAGAGAGAGCTGTTGGGGAACCAGACCAGCGTGACTGAGTCTCTCTGTATTCGCTGTCTCCAACCATTCAAGTTCCTGGTCAACAGCAAGCGTCAGTGTCTGGACTGCCAGCTGTACATCTGCAAGTCTTGCAGCCGCTACAACAAGAAGGAGCATGGCTGGGTGTGTGATCCCTGTCGCATGGCCAGGTAGGATAACTAAAGACATGAAACCTGTAGTAAATCAAAGTACTGTTGGGTGAGAACCATGGCTGAAAGCTAAAAAATCTAACCAAAAAAATCAGTGGCTCCAGCAGTGTGAGCTTATCTCAAAATAAATACATTTCTACACATACATTCTACACATACATAACATATATATTTCAGCTTGTTGGCCTAAATTTTGATTTTGACCCCACTAAAATGGCAGAACGTGTTACAAAGGTTACGGAACATTGTTTATGGATGGCATACATATTTTCTACTTTATATTAGAAGTAACCCACCATTTATTTCTTGGATTCTACTCTCCCTTCACTCCTTTAAAGCTGCATATATGTTGCTTGCCACATACAGTCCTATAGGGCCACCGAAAAATCCCCACCTTCTGTATTTAAAATACGGACATTTGCTGTCTGATATTATATTAATGACAAACAGGAATTTCAAAGAGTTGCGAAGGGAACATTTTAGTTTACTGTCACCCCAATGCTACTTTAAGGAGGTAATTTAAGTTTTGCTATGGCTATATAGCTAACATTAGCATTGACAGCTGTTTACTTGCCAGTCTAGAAGAAATGTTGTGAGTTCACCATCAAAATTAGTTCCTTTACTCGCCATGAGCTGTCTCCAGAGGTGGAAAGCAACACCAATGTTAACTTGTCTCTACCATGTCTTTTATTCTACTGAAGTTAGCATGCTAACCACACTAAAGCACCACACTTATATCAACTCACAATATCAAGAATGATGGTTTGTCACATTGTCACATGTAGCCTAGACCGCTACTTTAGTTTTGTGCAACAAGAGCACTAAATCCACCTTCATACAAGTACAAGCTTGCAAGCTCACACAATTACAAGGGATCATGGGAGTTGTTGTCATCACCATTACTGTAAGCTTCTCCTGGTTTGGATACTTTCAGAGTCAGTTGTTCAGGAAATCAAACAGACCTAAGACCTGTACTATGAAGCAAGTTCTAAGTACACGCAACATCGTCAGAACCATGAATAAAGTCCAAAATGTGACATGAGAAGAAATGCTGATACCTGCTGATTTAATTCTGTCATAGTGACATCTGAAAGTGATATTCAACAAGGTGAAATATGATAGAATAAAGTGGAATGAAAAAAAGAAATAGTAGAGATAATTTCTGGGATTTATTTTATATTTATTAAAGTCAGACTAAGGATTATATTGTTAATAAGTGCATGAATTATCATTAAGTTTTTTTACTGAGTATTTTCGTTCTTTTGTCTGATGATGAACAAACTTATGAACGTGATGCAGATTTTTAAAAAAAAGTTAAAGTTAATTTCAGACTGCAGCAGAGAGGAGAGAAAGAAATGAGAGAAGAAGTTGAAGTCTGATGAGTCAGTCTGACTGAAATGTTCATTTATAATCATGGAAATATTTAACACTGTGTGGATAATCTTTCTAATAACAGACATCAGAGGTTTAGTTTTTATTTGCAGTTGTGGTCACTGAGTCTCCTCGTGTTATTCTGAGCTGCAGTGATGAAGAAGAGTAAAAGCATCATCACTATCAGGAATCCTGTCCTAATCTTTGTTGAATTAAAATGAAGTTATAATAGTTATTATATATTTATTTACTTTGATAAACTCTATGTGTATTTATTAGAAGCTCTGTTTTAAAACTAGAGTGGGCATATGGAAAGACTCAAACAGCAAAACTATTCCACTGATTTATATAAATGTTTACTGATCTTTATTATCTCTCACTTTATTAGTTAACTTTATTATTAAGTCTTTTGTCCCGTTCAGGATCCTGTAGGAATGATGACTCAGTTATTTCCAGTGATCTGATTGGTCAGTAGTTTTGCTGTTGGCAGGTTTTGATCTAATACTGTGAAGTTTACCTGCGCCCGGGTTGGGAGTTCAGCGTAAGTTACCATGGTGATTTACCGTCGTAGGACTTAAACCCCAGCGTTAAACCTAAAGTTACCTGCTTAACCTCAAAACCTGCTTTGTCGTACAGGCCTCTGCTGATTATAGCCCAACCATGAACAACACTGAATGAAGCAGTTTCACATTTAAAGTCAGTGTTTGACCGACGTGGACAGAGACGTCAGGGAAGAGTTGGGAGCTTAGATTGATGCTAACCTTTGTTTTGATTGGTTCTCTGATAACTTATGAGTCAACAGGTTTTTACCAGCAATTAACCACACAGGTGTCCTCTTAAACAGACCAGGGAACTAAAACCAGTAGAAACACCCAGTAAGCACCTTCACTTTAAAACCAGTGATTAGCAGACGCTATCTTATGAACCAGACGTTCAGCAGGTTTTCAACGGCAGCCGAATTATCCACAGAGGTGTCCTCTCCATACCAAACGGACAAGGGGGTTAAAACTGGTAAGCGAATAAAGCAGTTTTACTTTCAAAAGGAGTGATTCGTCAATGCTCTTTGGTGGACACAGGATGACTGGGAGCTGAGCTGTCTAACACTTTTTAGCCTTTTTTTTCTCTGATAATTTAAGATCCAGACGTCCGATGATTAAAATCCTTCATCTGGTAGTTGAATACTACCATGGTGTAAAAACTGTAGGTGGCTTAAAACCAGATAAAAGTTAAATTTGAGCTTCTGGTAGGCAACCACAACGATGACCCTCAACAAAATATATAACATAGGTCTTCTCATTTTTATACATTTAATGTGGAAAAGTTACATATTATAGCTTTAACCATGTGAAAGGAGAGCCAACCTCCATTGCACCATAGACTCTGAGGCTGTTGATGGACTGGTGACATTAGTCAGTTTGATGAAAAATGACAGCAGAATACAGTCCAGGTCAAACAATCAGTGGAGTTATGCTTTGAAGTTGCACTACAGAGGTTTTTCATACTTGGACTGTCAGAAGTAAACCCAGAGAGGGAAACTATGTACAACTGCTGAATGCTGATATGTATGTAAGTGTGAGAGAACTTTATTGATCCCTTTGTAAGCTTTGGTCTAACTCAAAAAGACAATTGAGGTCTGAGTATTTGTTACAGTGCAGTGTGTGAGTTATGTGTAGCTGAACATGCTCAGTTTATTCATTTTTCTTATTATCATGAGAGCAAATTTGTAAGCGGTTAAAGATTCGGTTTCTTACACAAGGTTGCTTTGCCCACACACACACAGCATTTGATCGACGTTTTGGTGGCTGCAGTTCCAACACAGACACAGCTAAGATCTCCATCACTGCTCAGGCTCTGCTGCAGCAACAGAACATAATACATCCAGCTCATTCCAGCTCCATATGTAGCCATTACACTATTGTTTGCTCAGGTGAGGCTGAGTACTGAAAAGCCCTTTCACTGAACTCTGGAACATACTGTATGCTTCACATACAAAAGTACACCATACTTTGTTCACCATAGCAGTCAATATTTTTTTGCCCTTGATGTTAGTATTCCAACAGATATTTTCTGTAATGAATCTTGTCCGTGTTTGAAATCATCGGCCTCCGTCCATGTCCTCTAACAGGGTCCTCAAGATCGGCACGTTGGAGTGGTACCACGAAAACGTCCGTGCCCGCTTCAAGCGTTTTGGCAGCGCCAAGGTGATGCGATCGCTCTTCAAGAGGTTGAGCGGGGAACACAGCTGCACTCAGAGTGACCTTGGAGGTCAGTGGTTTTTATTCTGTGGGTAGTTTTCTGCATAAGTAAGTGTAATGATTTGCTACTAAACTGTTTTTTTGAAAGGTTTTACGGGTTTAAATCCTTAATCCAGATGTGAAATTCTGTATGTGATAACTAGATGAATAATACTCCTCCTTTACTCAACAAATACTGTCATGGTGGCCTGTCAGCAAAGAGATTAACCTGCTCTATGATTGAAACTACTCAGTGGCCAACAGTTAAACCCTGTGGTTATTGTGGGAAGCTGCTATGTGGGAATGTATATGTGAATGTTAAGCAGACCGAATCAAAGGTTACAAACCTGGTAGAGTGTCAGGTCTCAGGTCAAGGCTGCTTTGAAGGGGCAGCCTTAACAAATTTCCATCTGTTCCACTCATTTCTTTACAAGCCCGGAGGAGGTGCTGCAGGTCAGGAGCTGAGTCTGCTGGAGTCGCAGAGCATTGCTGGAAGTCTGCTTGAGCTTACCATAAGAAATCCCCAATAAATGAAAAGGCTTCAAGGAGATTCAACAGCTGCACATTGTTCTATAACTGCATGGAAAATATGTATCAGACTTGTATCTGATACATATTTTTGTATCAAACTGGAATCACACACTTCAAATTAGTAAAACTTCACCATGACCGGTGCATCACATGTGTGAATGGTGTCAAGTTCAAGAATTGGACTTGGAAATGCATTTTTCCTAATATAGGTCATAGACCTGATAAACAACAAAATACAGGTTCTTTATGTTAATGCATGCAGCATAAGACATGATCATACCCAATCGTATGCTATGGCTTTCACCCAGTGTAACCTACAGGAGATTAGACAGCACTCTCCCACTATAATAAAAAAGAACGGTGCTCATTCCTCCAGCAGAGTCCAGAAAATTGAGGAAGCTCTAACAAGGAGCACTTAAGTTGTTGTGACAGCTCCTGGTGGCCCAGCACTTTACCAAGACGCTTAATGTTGGTGTTTTACTTTAATTTGTCACCCATCTGTCTGTGAGACCCTTCATTTTTGTGACACTGAGTCACCAGAATGAAGTTTCCTTTCTCCTTCTCAGATAGTGAGCAGTCATCAGCAGGCTGCCAAAATCTGTCACGGGGTTTTTCCGGCTCTGGCTTGTCACAGCTGCACTGAGTGCTGTCACAGACCAGTCTGTGAGGCCTGGAAACAGCTCAGGCCATGTCCTCCACTGTCTGGTTTTCTACCAGTGGGCTTGCACCTTTAGAGACATTATTACCAGAGATAGTAACGTGGTGTTTACGTTTGCTGCCCATGTTTAAAGTCTGATGCAGTGACGGTATGACTTGCTCATGTAGCATCGTCAATATCCTGTAGCTATACCCAGAGCAGAGATACACGTTTGTCTATTAGCTTTAAGTCTTATAACACACAGCAAGTCTCCAAGTGAGATCATAGCATCAGGAGATCACTGAATAACGAGGAGATAGCCTGGACCCCTGGTACTGCTTACGCTGAGTCACCCTTGAGGATTTTGGGAAGGCACACAGAGAGAGTTGGTTGGCCGGCTCAGCCCAGCAGGCCTTGTGATCATCCAGTCACATGTCTCCCATTCTGTGCCTGGAACTGAAGGATCCAGTCCTGCAGGGCTCCAGCGACCAGAAGCAGAGAGAGACAGACAGAGAGAGAGAGGGAGGGAGGGAGAACAAAACTTTTTTTTTTTTTTTTTTTTTTGTCATGTACTGATGTGGAATCCAGCTCCTCCAGAGTGCACAGATGCAAGATGTAGTTATGAAACACGGCCATAAATACACATGTTAACAGATACATCATGTTTAATACGATCAGCAACTCATCACATGTAGAGATTCATGTGACCACCTGGATTAAATTCAATATGCATGACTGTACACGCTCACGAACACACACACACACACACACACACGCACACACACATTCTTCTGCTGTCTTTTTACTGTATGTATTTCGCTGTGGTCCGTTGGGCCCCCGTAGCTCGGAGGGTGTCATCCTATGTGCACATGGGCGAATGTAACAATGATGTTACAACAGTGTCTTTGTTCACATACGTTGCATAAAAAAGAAAAGTAAGTTGGCTACAATTACTCCTTTATTTAATGCTTCTACTGCTGCTCCTGCTTCTGATTATTATTTTTTATGTGGAAAGTAAAGACTGTCTGAATTATCTCAATTTACAGAGCAGTTTTCTGTCATTAATGAATGGCAAAATTCACAAAACTCTCACCTCATTGAGTGAGAAGGTTAATTAGAACAATCCAGTCAGCTTTTAAGATGTGTTACATGAAATTTTAATGCAATAGAGATAAAGCAAGTCTTCTCTTCTCTCTTTGTTTTCCAGAGCCACATGAATACGACACACAGAGCATGCCTGATGTCCACGTCCACAGTAAGTACACTGAACTAAATGGACAGTCAGGAAGGTTTACATATTGTTGACAGACACATCTTTCTTTTGGTTTTAATATACACTGTACAATGATGCGCGGAGCTAAATGTTAACGTCAGCATGCTAACATGCTGTCAGTGCAGTTATGTTTAGTTATGTTACCGTGTGAGCTTGTTAACCTTTGCTAATAGCAAACAAAGTACAGCTGATGAAAGTTTGTCTTTGGACAAATGCAGATTTTGACCTCCTGATGGCACTAGATGAAAGCTCAGGGGATCACCAAAGTCAATAAGATTCATCCTCTTGGACCAAGAATGTCCACTTAACGTAGAACTTTGTCACTGTCTCGCTGTCAGTGCCATCTCTAGTGTCATGCTGCTAGTGTGGCTATATATATATATATATATATATATGACAAAGTGGATATTTAACCACTATTTGACTCAAGATTTAAGTTTAAATATTATTTTCTGAAAATCTGCGTGGGGGGACCAGGATTCATGACCTCATATGTGCATGTATAAGATCCTGGCTACCGTCCTGGTCAGACACAGGAATCATTTTCACTTCTTACCTCCTGGTCGTAATTGTCCATTAGTGCTTTGATTCTCAGACATTTTTGATTCTGTTTCTTTAAGTCTTTGTGGTCAGAGCTGAATTACAAACCAGACAAAGCATCTGGCTCATGAGGCCCCACAACTCCAGGGGGTCCTGACGGCCCTGTGTACATTATGTGTTAGCTGGTTTGTGGTAATTAGAATGATTGCAAATAAAAAAAAAAAAAAACATAAAGTAACGTCCTGCATTATTACTTTATTGTCATGGTGAAGGGCCCTCTGTCAAAATGTACCTGATTTATATTTCTAAATAACTTTGTGTTTCAACAAATTACTATAAACAGGGGTCAGTCTGAGCCCACACATTTCCTTCATCCTGAGGCCTCCTAGAAGGTTAATCCAGCATGTGTGTGGTCCTCTTTAGATCCATTCTGGAGTCATGTTAATGGTTGAGAGCTAGTTTACTGACTAGTCTCCTTAGGCCTACAATAATGTTTTATCTGAATATTCATGATGGTAAATCCAAACAGAGGGATTCTGTAAGTTTAGTTTGATTATTGAATATTCACATTAGACTATTAAGATTCAGACTTTGTAGTTTTGAATGTCTTACAGTGGGTACAGTGGTTTGGGAGCAGACCAAAAGGTCCTGGTTAGGCTGGCACAGTCAGTGCTCGCCTGGATTTTATTCACATTGGCACATTAAGAGAACAGGAGAGGAGCCTGGGAAGTTTTTCTCAGGCAGAGACAAGAAGATCAAAAAATGTTATTATTAGCCTACTATTATTATATCATTATCATTAGAGTCTGTAGCAAAAGCCACATCAAATTCCAATTCATTCATGTTGGAAATTATAATGAATTAATGCAGACGTTTACTGTACTGTTGTTGTTCTGCATAAGCTTGAAACTTTATCTTTATCTGTTGATCTGTGAAGCTTAATGATGACCGTTTATCTCTCCCCACAGTTTTTCTTGTTCCCAGTCTTTTATCCTCTCTCTCTGTTTGTATTCAAGAGAATTTACTCATAAACACTATCATAAAAAGAGGCTGAAAACACATAATGTTCCTTTCGTTTGCCTCTTAGTGCTGTAGTTTCTCTGCCTGATGGGAGAGGTGCAGTGTGCATCTCAGTGTAAAGACAAAGTTTCTCTCTGTTTCCAGAAATCATGTGCTTTTTCTTGTGCACCTTAGGGTTAACACTAACATGCCTTCCCTCTGTATCAGCAGATGGATATGAGGAGCACAGTATGGATGCAACAGATTCACAACAAGGGGTAGGGCAACTCTTCTCTTTTATATAACTCATTTGTCTTAGGGTTGAAGAACTAATTCTAGGCTGCGTCTGCTTCTTTGCTGTGCTGTGCTTTCCGTATGAAATATCTAAACTTTGTTTGCTTGTTAAGGACATTATGAATAAGTAAACAGGTATCTTGCAGGCATTTTGTAGATACATAGGTTTTAGTGAGTTTGAGGGCAGCAGAAAAAATTCCAGTGATATGCATCATAAAACAAGAAAGAGAAACCTGATTTTACTCACACAGCAGGTCTTTAGTAGATCTGGTATTTTTCACTCTGGAAACCCGCAAACAATTCTGTACCTGGTTCACTTATGTTCTGTTGATTTCTTGTCCACACCTGACATGTTTACTGTTTATTGATTAAGATATGTTTGGTGAGGAAAATCAAAGCTCATCTGCAACACAATAACACAATTTAATTCATGCTGAAATCATGTTTTTTGAAACAACGCTCTGCTGTGCTCAGCACTGATCTTTATCACGCTGACAGCTCCTTCCTCTGCTGAAAAGCAGAGGTGTTTTCTACACGTGTAATCTACGTGATATATACCAGCCCTCGTGAACAACTGGAATGCCTTGACAGCTGGTGACATCGAAGGTTAGGCACGGTCGAACCGGCGCTGGCCGCCATGTATTGTGGGTAAATACCAGGCTGTCAAACATAATCGCACACATAAAAGAGTCCAAGAGGAGTTGAAAGAGCCTCTGGTTCAAGTCCTGAGATTGTAAAAAGGGGCACTGAGTCCACTGGAATTCATCATAAAACCAAGACTACTCCTGTTTATACCACAGCCTGTGTAATGTAGGAGCCAAGCTTTGTTTATTTTCAATCACTGCAGCAACTGTCAAGTAGAAAAATTGTTGTCAGGACTCTTGGGCTCTGCGGGGTCTCTGGATGCTGCGTCTTTGTTTACAATGTGTCTAACAATCAATGATTTATTTATATTTTACATGATAGACTTTTGATTAATGTTACAGTAAGAAAGAATACGAGAAGGCCAAGTGGTCCTTCCTGCACCCCGTTTGATTTCACTTAGAGAGAGAGCCATCTGCTGGTCCAAACAGAGTGCTGCCTTTTGGGCCACTTAAAGGACACTTCACTGTCACATTCACCTCTCCAAAGAAACTGCAGTGCAGGTACAGGACTGTTTTTGGAGCTTAGATTCAGTGTCTTGCTCAAGGCTTCCTGGGTAGAGTGGAGGTCCTGTCAACACAGGGTTTTAACATGTCTCTAAAACGAAGTCCCATTCTTTCTAGGCCTCATAGCCAAATAGCAAGACATTCTCTTAACCCCAGTTTGTGCCTTTTATATATTAACATTATATTTGAGTGACAGAACAGAATCTTTGAAAAACCCAGGGGGTAGTTTAACACTTACAGCAGTTCTCAAACACTCTTTGAACCATGTGGATGAAAAAATAAGCTGTTTTTTCTTATCTACACAAAGATGTTAGCCAATAATAACATATCCCCTTTGTACAACATGAACCAAAAGTTTAAATAAATATATTATCAGTCATACTCACTTTGCAAAAGTTTTAGGTGCTAAAGGTAAAGTTCAAAATTAAATGATTAATATAGTTCTGTTTGTGCTCGTTGTCCTGCTGCAGAATAAATCTAGGGACAGATCAGGCGCCTCCTGTTGTTATTGCATGAAGAATGTAAACACTTAAAAGTGCATAAAACTTCTTATATTAATGTTAATTTCCAGTGTTTAAAATTTTTCATACAAAGTAAAGTTTTAATATTTTGTTTGCGTTTTACAAGAAGAGCTATAGTACATGTAAATTCTGGGTAAATGGAAAGGACAAACCGGGTAAAAACTTTTTTTTATTTGTGCAGATATGCAGATGTTTAGAAGTGTGTGAAGATGTGACTCAAACACAATGATAATTCATGAGAGGAACACACTGATGCTAATATTCTCCAAAAGAAATGACTTGCATGAATAAATGCTTTTTAATGAGTTGGTTACATTGCCAGCTACATTCTTTCATGCTGTGGAAGAGTCAGTGCGTCAGTGTGTCAGTCTCTTGCAGTGGTGTGGTTTTCTTTGGGATTGTATCCTTCCTCTCCTCTTCATACTTACCTTTTAATTTTTATCCTCTTTCTTACTTTTTCACTGTCTCCTCTCTTTCGGTGATGGTGATCCCTTTCTGCTGTCAAAAGATAAAAAAAGCCAAAAGGCGGCTAACTGTCGATCCCTTTGATTTCGGACTGGGCTGTGACTACTCCGTCGATTCCAGAAGACAGTCAAATCAGGTAGAAGCTGGACAACTAACCACAACCAGCTTTTCCCCAAACCAAAAAACTCTGCATGTCTTCACACAAGTCGGCCTCTGTTCCTTCTCGAGCCTCTTTTTGTATTCTTTTTTTGCCAAACATTGACTACTTCAGCTAGAGGATATTATATTAGTGTTGAGCGCCGTCATTATTTATTCTCTTATCTGGCCACAAGATGCCCATTGTGCACAATATGCTTATGTGCAGTCTTGTCAGCTCATTAACAGAATTCTCTGCATAAAACCAATAAAACCACAATGGCTGGAGCACAATAGACTATAAAATTTCCAGTGATTACATCTTAAAAGTAAATTTAATGCAGTGTAAAAGCCTGAGGAGCACATGAGATATTGCAGTATTGCCAGTAACCAATGTCATGTAAATCCTAATAACATAAAGCCATGCCATTAAAACAGCAAATGAAGAGGTCTGTTTGCTCAGCTGTAATTTTATCATAACATTTATGAAAACTGAGAGGTACAACATGAATCACTGCTGTGATCATTACATTGCAACCCATAATACTTGGTGATCTTTGCTTTAATTACAGTATTTATATCATTAATCAGTACAAGAATCTTATTCAATTTGCATGCAAAGCCTAATAACAATTATTGACTTTAACTGGTAACTTACTCACTGACCATGTACGTAAATGTTATCAATTTTGGAGATTCTCATATAATCTAAGATGAATGTTTATATCTCGTTATAAATGTAAAGCAGCAGTAAAGTAATTTTCCAATGAATGTCACCAAATTTATACCTACTGCTTTAACCCACTTCCTTTCTCTGATTTACTGTTTATATGTTAAGTTTCTAGCTAGCCAGAAATAGCGGCAGCAGCAGCTAATGTGAGCACTCACCATCCTTTCTTTCTTTCTTTCTTTTTACCACTCTCTCCATTCTCACTCCCAGGCTCCAGGCTCCAATGACAGCATGGTCATGGATGTAGCTGTGAGGGAGTCGATGCTAGCTGAAGCAGACATGGCCTCTGTTTTCCACCAGATTTTGGAGGAGCAACGCAAAGGTCTGGACTTGGGAATAGCTCCATAAGAAAGCCACAACAGATGCAATTCATATGTTAAGGAACTCATACTGTACAGTTCAACAAAAATGTATGTGACGATAGCTAGCTTACTAGGCTAACTGTAGCTGGCCAACTATTTGGCAAATTGACAGAACAGCGGCTTTTGTCCACTTGGCATAATTCATTTTGATGTATTATATATATATATTTGGTAATATAATGTATTTTTTGTTGTCAACACTTGTTAACATAACACAAAAATCAGTTTCTAGTTGGTATAATATGTCAATGCTTTGATAATTAAATTAGCCTTCAAGCTAGTTGGTTTGCTAGCTAGCTAAAAATGGCAATTTGTTTAGTTTTACAGACTCAGCTATTCCAAGCCATTAGCATAGGCTACATATGTCACATCATGTTAGCAGGCTGTTCATCAACAGCACTTTTTGTTCTCTCTGAACATTAACGGTGCCATGTTATGCATTCCTCTACAGTCTTTTTTCTATATATTCCACTGATAAGCTACATGGTTAAAATTTGTTAACTACTTTGATGGTATGGATCCAAAATGTTTGCTAACCTAACGATCCAGTGATAAGATCCTTTGGGCGGATTCATCTGTTGAGCTTTGTTGAGTTTACTGAAAAAATAATTTTGTTGTTGACCATACAGTGATAAAACTACTAAATACAGTGTTGTTTCCCCATGAGGTTAATTAGCTGATATCACATGGTCATAAAACCTACCTACTTTGCTATTGAAAGTAAGACATTTTCATTTGATAGCCATGAGATTGAGTTTGAGAAAAAGAAAATCCTCACTTTACTGATCATACCCACGTTTTTCTGTTATTCTAGATGACCTTGTGTACTCAGACAGCCGAACTGTCCCGTCTCGCTCCGTCTCCCAGCTCAGCTACTCCTCATGTGGCAGTGGTAGTGCAGGGGGACCCCGGGGCAGCAGCAGCTACCTGCCTGGCCCTGATGACTCAGAGGAGGAGCACGACCACTTCCAGCCCTACCCTCTCTACCAGTCTCACCCAGGCCTTTGCAGCCACATGTCTCAGGAGAGCCTGAACTCAGCGAACCCCCCACCACAGGTCTTTAATATGCTTCATATTAATATCTCTAATTGATCACGAGAAATCCTCAGTGCATTACATTCACTTGGCAGCTGCTGTGGGACACTCATAAATACAGTTTGGAAGGTTTTTCTGTTCTGTGGGAAACTCTTTCTTATACATGTGTGTCTGCATACCATACCTATTACACAGAAATTAGAAACTGGAAATATGACATTCATAGTTAATAATGTTCAACCTTGCGTAATCAAACCCCACTACTCTCAGATGTGTCATATCCACCAATCAACTTTATTGATGTCTATACAACCCATATGGCTTTTAATGATAGTAAATAAAAGTTTAATGTTCAAGATTTTTTCTTTGCCACAGTTCATAGAAACCAATCTTTTATCTTGTTTTAGTATGGGACAAACTAAATAAAACATCTTGAAGCTTTTATAATATTACTATTTCACTATGGGAATTACTGGATAGAAGTATAACTATTACCATTTTTTCTTTTTTTTTTTTCTTTTTTTCCAAGTATATTTGCTTTTAAAGATAGTGTAAGCATAGTCTGTGAAAGGAAGACACCGGACAGTGACTAAAGTTTGACCGCATGGTATAGTGCTGAGCTGACTGTAGCGTGACGTTTTGGAAAGAATTTGCTTCATTTATATGAGCCAGTAAAGGGTTGGATAAGACCATAAACATGAACTTAACCTTACATGAAAGATTAATAGTTTGGTACAAAACCCAGTTTTATTATAATTTGATCTCTACAACAATTAATTGTGGTTTGGAGTCACATTTCTGAAAGACAACAGCTAACAAAGTGAGTGTGTACGCTAACACACACACACACACACACACACACACACACACACACATACACACACACATACACATGCATCATGCTGACACGTCATTGCGTGATGTAGGGAGACAGCTGCTACATCAGAGGAAAGTTACATACATTACATCAGGGTCTATTTATGTGTTGGCAAACAACTCAGTCCCTTGAAAGGATCAAGACAACTGTTACTGATCTGTTCATGAGAAGCAGATAAACAAACCATTATTTTGACTGACTTTGAGTTGAATCAATATGTCTACATGTGTCCTCATGTGTCCTCTGGTTTGGACTTCATGTGTCTTTGAGTTGATTGAGACTATCTCCAGAAGTTCCTTTTTACTTTCTCAAGTATAATCGTCATCTCTGCTCAGAATCAAAAGATGTTCTTTGTAGTTATTAGAGGTAAGAAATATAAAAACCAAGCATGTGATTGATCTCTGTGGGTGGGTGGCCTGGTGTTATCAGTCCCACCCGGCCGTGTGCTGATTTCCACCCTCAGCATCTTGTGTCATGGCAAATTTGTCACACTGCGAGACACAAACCGGACACTCAGCCCAGACGTGTGCCTGTCGGACATCAAAAACAACTGTGACATTTCTCATTGGCTACGAGTTCGCAGCTTAGTCAGAGAGCGGGTGCTCATCCTCACACGAGTGCCGGCTGCACTCTGTTTGCTTGATGCTTATTTGGAAAACATTCGAGCCAGCAATTTAACTTGAAAGTCCAGTGACGTGTGCGATTTGATTATGTTTGTGGAACAAGACATCAGGATGAGTCAACAAGCACAAATTCTGTACAAGGCCAGGGCACAGGAAAAATGGTGTAGAGCAAAGTTAAAGTGTGTTTACAGGTTATACAGACAAGTGACAAATTAAAGGGAAAATCTGAATAAATGAGTGGAGATAAATAACAAATGTGAGTACTTCCATACAAGGACTGGGTGAATGAAATCTATGTTAATCATACAGTATATGTGGTCTCAACTAAAGACTTATGGACTGACACATCAGACAGCACTAACATGACAACCAAGCAATAATGTGCAGAAAAGGTTCTACAGTTAGTCATTTCAAAGTTTCGCTATTGCTACATAGCTAGCATTAGCATTAACAGCTGTTTACTTACCAGTCAAGAAGAAACATTGTGAGTTCAGCATCAAACTTAATTCATTTACTCACCAACAGCTGCCTCCAGAGGAAAGCAACACTAATGTTAACTGTTGTCTCTATCACGTCTTTTCTTCTAATGAAGTTAACATGCTAACCAGCTAGCCCTAGCCTGTCTCGTCACTTTCCAATAGTGACTCACTGTAGCCCCCAGTCTGCCCTGAGGATGTAGCACTGCTCAGAGGACGTATTATAATTCAATTCAAATTCAAAATAACTTTATTTATCTGTACTTCATTTGTGTAAAAACATCAGTGCAAACACAACACATACTAGGTAAAACCAAAAACATAAATTCAGCTTAGCAAGTGTGAAACAGTTTAAGATAGTAAGTGTGCTTAAAGTAGTCGAGGAGTCAGTAAGATCAAGCCCCAGGCTACCTCAGGCATTAATGAGTCTGATGGATGCCACCACAAAGCTTGACATGGCCTGAATATGAGGGACTTGTATCTGCAGCCTGAGGGTCGTGTAGTGTGTATAGTATCTGAAGCTATTTGTAGTCCTTTCATATTAGTCCATCTGCTGTAGATGCTGCTTAATGGTTCTTGCTCCAGTCCATTGATTTTGCTGCTCATTCTGATGATTTTGTTGCAGCCTCTTGTCTTGTAAACACAACAATGGCTGAAGCTCATGTCATCAATCACCACCACCCGCTCCTGCCAAGGAACCTCATTTGGTGGCAGAGGAAACTTACAAATAGCGCCTACAAAACCTCTGAAATTGATCAATCAAAGTTAAAACAGACAGAAAGAAAGTCATATTATTTCTTAAGAGTTAGTAATTTGCTTCTTCGGGACTGTGTGGGTTTTGATTTGATTGGCCTGGCAACATAAGCAAAACACCCCACAGCTGTTATCAAATTAGTTTTATTTAATTTGGCTACGTCTGATTGGTTAATGATAATATGTGACTTCACATTTTCCAACTGAGCCGCATCCACCACTGCACTGAGAGGAGCTCAGAGAAAAAACAAATGCAGAAATCTTTCATGTGGAAAACCAAAACTTTGTTCATGTAGGAAGCCATCACTCATAATAAGAGGGTGATTGAGAAAGCATGTTTTCAGGGTCATGCAACAAGTTGTTGTGCCAATCATGAATTTACCAGTTAAATCATTACGTTTAGGTAATAGGCAGTTCAGGTTCACAATTGGGTCAGGGTCTGGGTCTTGGAATCCCTACGAATCGGGGGGTGAGGCTGGATTTGGACATAGTCTCAGAGGAACCGTTGTCTGAGAGACACAACTCAGGTCAAGAAAGTTTTCACATCAAAAAGATAGGTCAGATGACTGTCTGCATGACTTCCTGGCTTCAATATGACTCTTCCTGCCCTCAGGAAGCTCATGAGAAAAAATAGAATTATTGCATTTTGATCATCATCCAAGGGAACATTTCACATGTGCAAGAAGAAAAGGGTATAGTATAGGCTGTCATTTTCCTAGTACAGTGTATTCCTTTCTTTTTTTTTAATCTCAGTCAAGATGTTTGGACTGATGTCATGTAGAGAGGAACCTTTCCATTATTGTGAAATGAGGGGATGGGGTGATCTGGCTGAGAGCTCAGACTGATGACACCATGTGAAAGTGCAGCATGGACATGAAGGCAATGAACTGAATCTGTATTTGAGAGACATATTTGTCTTTTGATTTGTTCAGTGTGAGAAATTTATATCATATGACATGTTATTACTTAGAGGGTGATTTCAACAGTATCATGTAAATTATTAATTGTGCTGTACATTTTGTTGTGGAGAAACTAAAATTAAGTAACTACACATGTTTGGTAGCTTTCCTTGAACTCTGCAATTTATGTTCCTTCATATTACTAATGTTCTATACCTCTGATATCCTGCTTTCTGCTCATGTTTCTTTCTTCATTATATGTCATCTTCATCATCTGACTGTTGTATCCCTGACTCTCCTTGTCTTTCTTCAGATCACTGACCTGAACAGACGCATGTCAGCCATCGAGACCTTCCTGAACCGCTTAGAACATAAGGTCACCTCAACATATGATCAGGTAAATCCATTTAACACCACATCACAGTTGTCAAATCATCATCATAATCATCACCATCAAATAATCAGCAAGGCTCTGGGAATTGCATTACGATGAGAATGAAGTTTCAAACCAAAAACATTAAAACAGCTGGTTAGAGGATGTTTACATGGACATAGCCATAGCAACGGCTGTAACGTGTTTCAGCTGGTATGATCAAATGACATAAAGTGGAAGCTAACATAATAAAATACATTGTGTAAAAGTTGTTATTCTGTTCAGACAGTGAGTAACAAACTCTTTTGGTTTAGTCTGCAAAATCGCTGTTTTGGTTGAATCTAGACCCAAATAACAGACAAAGTTCATCACTAGCTTCTGATCATAAGGTGAGTTTCTATCCACCTGTCTTTATGCACATTTTCAATTTGTGCATAAAATAAACCTGAAAGGAAATTCCGGAAAATTAAAAAAATCTCAAAACATCGCGAAAAGACTTGGCTTAAACACTTGGCTAAAGTATCAAAGTCAGTGTATCAATTAAGGAAAAATGCTACAAAGTACAATAGAAACAGACTTAGCCAATAAATCATGATGTACATGAAACATGTGACCTAAATATTCACTGAAGCTTGCGCTCCACTGAAAATAGACCAGATGAAACATCAAATCTATGGAGAATGAGAAAGAAACTGTTACGTTCCTTGAATTAATACATGAAACAAACATAAATACCATATGTTTTCTACATTGTCTTTAACAATTTGAGGTTTGTACCCTCTTCTTCTACAGTGGTTTTAATGGGAATCAGCACCACCAGCTGTTTATCTTGACAAAGCACCTCCTAATATTCCCCTAACAGCAGTGGGTGGGAGGTACATTAATGTGCCGAATTTCTGAAAATTCGGTTAAAGTTTGCTCTATACTTACATACAAATCTGAATAATCAACAGCTAAAGAGCCAGATACAAAAGGAGACTGAGTACATTCATCCGGCAAACAGACACATGACTCCAAATGAACACTGATGTTGTTATGTGTCTTGTGGATGGCAGCTGTTGACTAACAAGTTTGCCATTTCAACTTCATGAGGTGATAATATGTCAGTGTTTGTTACACTGCAACCTAGGGCTCTAAAAAATTAATTAATTCATCTTTGAGCACCAACACTGTCCCACTGTAGCCAGATAGTGGCTTCAAACTTGTTTGCTTCTAACCTGCTGACAAGGATAAAACATGACCTATTGTTTTATTTATTTATTTGTTTGTGTAGTTATGTAGTTTTTAGAAATGTTTGTATTTTACTTGCAGGTCATTGTTTTCTGATAATGAGGAGGGGCACACAGTGACTCACATTCAACAGTGATGTCTGATGTAGGGTTGGTGTCTGTTTGTAATTGGGTTGTGAAACCTGAAATCCACACGAGGATCATCAGAGATCGAGCCAAGCCACAAAATCAGCAAACTATAAACGAACACAGAGCTTAAGATCATATGGTATTTAGTGGCTATTCTGCTTCACATGAGAGAAATATTTGATAGACTCATGCTATTCCTCTGGTGGCAAATCACGGCTTAAATCAATTTGTATGTAGTTCATAATCCACCAGAGTGCACGGATCACATCTGTGTGAATGTCTATGTGAAGTATCGCAGCAGGAGAGTTTTCATGGTTTCATGCTTATATCTGCTGTAAGATAAACTTGCTAGTTCCTGTTTAAGATAGCATGTGTGTCAGTGGAATGTTGGGGCCTATCCCAGCATGCTTTGGCCAGAAAGTTGGGCAACACAACTGGACAACAGTTTATCACAGTGGCATGTGCCTTTTTTGAAACTAAAGATCTTCAGTGGCACACAGAATTAGACAAAACAGGTTTCTCATTTTAGATAATGACCACTGATTTTGATGCCTGAAATGTTGACTATTGCCAGCACATTTATCACCTGCAGTTAGCTGCCTAATTAAATCATTGTGAGTTGCTTGTAAATTCCTGTAAAACCTATAACCCTGTAAAATGGTCCTAAATATGCACATGATGGCTACATACATAATGTCATGATAAAAGAGTGAGGCTATAACTACATATTATTGGCAAAAAGTCAGGTCCATCTCCAGCCTTCATTTTCATTCATTTATTTGGGAACATACATACATTAATTAACAGTACTGTAAATGTACCAGTTTTAGCCAGCTGGCTGATTTTCAACTGGAGACCTTAGTAGAGATGTTTGAAGAACCATCAACACAATGATATTTACAGCAACGTCACAGAGGACTGCAACAACAACAAAAAGAATTATCCAAAATGTAAACACAGGTCATTCAAAAAGCCACTGGAACTCGCTGAATATTAAGACACTAATACAACAACAAACATACATATATATATACATACACATATATTTAGCCACATAAAAGACATGTAGCATAAATACACAAGCTTCATTGTGCTTGTATTGCAAGCTGAAACTAGTTAGCTCTAGTGGTATAGCCAAGCAGCAACCTCTGAGCCTGAAAAATAGAGCCAACATGAAAGTGCCAAAACTGCAGTTCCTCTAATGACCACTAGAGTCTGGCTCCAACAGTGAGTCAATCCCCATAGACTCCCATGTTAAAATGTCCAACTTTACAGCAGAAATAAACGTTTACAGCCTGGTACAAAAACTGGTTTTGGTCTCTATAGCTAATTTCCTCCTTCACGACAATTTCCCAACAACTGTTTATATAACTCACCTGTTTACATTTTATCAAGGCTTAAAGTTATGCATAAATGTGGGCATGGCCGCTTTGAGTGACAGGTGGGTGAGCGTATGTAAACCCACCTCTTTGCCCATTTTTGGATTAGCCAGCAGTGAGGAGGCGGAGTCAAGTACTGCCAAGATGGCGACAGTGGAGCAGCTCACTCTGAGCTTCAAAACCGCTCTTCAGAAACCTGTGGGTGACGTCACAGAGGCTACATCCATCTTTATTCACAGTCTATGGGTATAGCACAGTAAAAAAAAAGAATTACAGTACATTATTCATTACATGAAAAAAAAAAAACAGGGACAAACAACACATAAGCTGATTTCAGGATTTATTTATTATTGCTATTTTTCAAGAGACATAACATTATCTCAGGTAGCTCATTTAAATGGAGTTGCTGCAGTGAAAACATTCCCTTCAGTCATTTAAGACTTTTCACTAATGGTGTGGTTCGTTTTTTCTCTGCTCTGTTCCAACACACCGACTAGGCATCTCCAAACAGCAGCTCTCCTCTTCCTCAGTGGGAGGAAGTGGACCTAGAGGAGCAGCAGCTCAGGCAGAAGCTGCATGAAATGACGGACAACATTAGTGACCACAGCCTCACCTCTGATGATGAGGACGAGCCCAGCAGGCCACATTCCTCGCAGGAGATCCCAGCGTGGAGGAGCCCAGAGGGGGACACCAAGCCTTCCAGACTACCGACCAGACCTACATCCAGAACGAGCATCGTGGTCTCCAGACTGGAGGAGGAGCAGCTTCACCAGACCGACTCTCAGAAGGTAGAAATATCTGTGGCAGAATCACATGAGCAAAAACATCAGCAGAGGAAAAGTAATTTGTGTATTCACATCCAAGTATTCATACTTGCATTAACTCTTCGTTTAATGCCAGAAAGTTCATCAGTAACATACACACTGCACATCTGGCTTGTTGCACATTCTGTGTTTTAGAAAAACAGTCTGGCTCATGAAATTTCATACCACCTCTGCTGGAATCCAGTTCAAGCACATACTGCAGCCATAAATCAAGTCACTCAGCCTTGGCGTTTGTTTTTCCTTTGCGTCCGTCGCACTCAGTTTTTCTGAAACAGAGAATGCATTACAAAAATAAGTCCCTCTCAGATGCTGTGCTGAGTTGCCTGAACTGAACTGCTTTCACTAGCATTTTTTTCTCTCCAGAAGCTACGGTGTCCTGGTGAGTCATGAGTCATGCATTTTCACCACCACTTTACTATAGGCCTGTTCGAACTGCATGCCCTCCCTTGAGGGTTTAAAGTATTTCATAACACAAGAAACAGGAAAACACGCGTCTCTGATGTTATAACCTGATAATGTTACTAACAACAGGTGAACCCAGATGCAGGACACAGACTCTGAGCTCTGAGTGTTTCGTCTTGTTTTCAGTGTGACTGGACAGAAGATCAGCTTGCTTTCTGTCAACCGGATATCCAGTTTATGGAAGAGTAACTCGTGCTCTTCAAATGATTTTGTTTCAGTGCACTAAGTCAAGTTATACCACTGCTAATTATTCATGACTTAAATGATCAATTAATTTATCAGTCATTTCAGTCAACAATGTTTATTTTAGAACATAGGACAAAGCTAAGTGTATGATGTTCTACTTCTGCCTTTGCATCTTAAGGAGGACAGACATTATCTACACGGCGGCAAGACATCACTTGTCAGTAATACATAAAGATAGGTCACTTTAAGTGTTTTAACAAATGACCACTGCTGTTGTTATTTTGGCAAAGACAAGCTCAGTTAAGTATAGGTTCATGGACAGTCCACACACAGTGCAGTTAATAGAGTTTACCTACTGTGTGTGTAAATGTGAAATGTGAAACATGGCAGGTCACTCAGATGGAGGAGAACAGAGGACACAAACTCCTCTCTGTACATGCTAATGCTAATGAAGGCTACTCAAAATCATGTTATTATAATAACTGCTTCTTAGTCAGTCTAATATTATTTGATTTTAAGTGTTTAGGAAAATTAATAACAATTCACTAATTCACACTTTGATTAATACATTTATTGTACTTAGCTAAAATGTCATAGTATTTTATACTTGTATCTCACCACATTGCTACAGCTGCAGTCACCAGTAACTTTACACATACAGGTTTTACATGTAGCAGATGAGGCAGTTAATACTAGCTCCACCTCCACCACCACCAACATTAAATACAGCATATAGAGTAAGACATCACTAATGATAATGATAACATAAAACATATGTAACACAGTGGCGATTAATGAATACTTTTTCAGACTTTTACATAAGTAAGATTTCAAATGCATGACTTTTACTTAGAGCTGAGTATTTTCATTTTGTGGAGTTTGGCTTTTACTTAAGTAAATGATTTGATATTTCTTTTACCACTGAACAAAGACTAAGAATCTACAGCCACACTAGCTTACACACAGCTATCCTTAAAGTGAAATGCTTGCATCAGCATGTTATCATGCTCACAGTGACAATGTTCACCTGCTAATGCTTAGAGGGTAATCTTTCCCATTGCTACCATCTTTATCGTTTAGTGTGCTAACATGCAAATAATTTACATTAATAAGGTACATCAGAGGCTAATGGGAAGGTCATTGGTTTTGTACAGAAGTGCTTGACCTGATGATGACACTGGAGAAAAAGTTAAGGCACCACCAAAGGTTCATCCTGAGGGGAACTTGAATGTCTCTGCAAAAATTTCATGGCAATCTGTCAAACAGTTGTTGAGAAATTTCAGCACCGAAAATGTCAACCTCATGGTGAATACAAAAATCAGGGGATCACCAAGGTAACTAACCTTTTTCCACTGGGTACCATGTATATCAGTAAAACTTCATGGCATTACTCTGATAGTTATTGGGGTATTTCAGTCCACAGTGATGGACAACCATTTGATGGACCAATATTGTTGTAGAATATGCATTAAAATTGAATTTAAAAGTGATCAAAATGGCTTTAATTTGATATTTAATTGTATTTTTTCCTCAAATCAATTTTGAAGTGATAAACAAATGAATATAGACTCCTTTCTCAGATCATAAATATATACATAATTTCTCTTGTAGATGAACGACACAACAGAAAGTGTGGAGTGGAAGTGGCACCCCCTGGAAGAGGGATCAAAGGCGAGTTTCAGAGGCTCAACAGCTTTACTTGTGGAGTTAGAGGACCAGGTAGCTCAAGCAGCGGCCAACGTCCAGAACGCCCAGAGTGAGGTGAGGAAAGACCAGACGCTGGGTTTAGCTTAACTGGCAAATTAAATTTGTTTTGAAGAGTCAAAAACAGTCATCACATTTTCTCTTTTTATCCGAAGGTCTCCTACATAGAGAACAGGATTGCTGCTCTCAATGCTGCCGGCATGCCTGTGGATAAAAGGAGAAAGGTAAAGACATTTAATTTACATTTAGTCATTCATTCATTCATTCATTCATCTTCTACCGCTTATCCTCTAGTAGGGTCGCGGGGGGGGCTGGAGCCTATCCCAGCATCCTTTCGGGCGAGAGGCGGGATACACCCTGGACAGGTCGCCAGTCCATCGCAGGGCACACAGAGACAAACAACCATTCACTCTCACATTCATACCCTATGGTCAATTTGGAGTAACCAATTAGCCTAGTCCCCCTTTGCATGTCTTTGGACTGTGGGAGGAAGCCGGAGAACCCGGAGAGAACCCACACAAGCACGGGGAGAACATGCAAACTCACCACCGTGCCGCTACATTTAGTCAGAGCTGTTTAAAATCATTGCTTATGTAGAATATGTTTCCTCAAACAAATGCACATATTGAAGTTATTATTACAGGCAGAGCTACTCTAAGGTCTGATTTAATCCTACTGGTTGATTCCTAACTGTTGCCCCTCCCCCTAAGATTCAAATCAACCAATAAGATCATTTCTATCTGTAAATTAGGTCTGTCTCTGATTAACTTTTGTACTCTCCAAGGTGCCAAAAAGGCAAAATACTTTCCCACATTCTGACATTCTTTCTTTTTCGTCTTTCTCTCTGTCTCCCACGTTGGTGTCTTCTAGTCTGCAATCCCGATCCAAGCAAGAAGACTTTCCCAGAACTTTCCCACAAGTAAGAACCAGCACTGCTGCCCTTGAGCTTGATCCCCAGGGCCTCACAAAACCCTAAAAACATCTTAACCTTGTTAAACTATAAGAGCATGATCCAACCAATGAACCGATGAACACTGTGTCCTATTGTACCATGACTTTAATTTTCTCAGCTGGATAGCATACGCTCTATGTACTATAAATGGAAGAGTATTTTTACGCTGAGTAGTGGTTTTTCAGGGTATTAAATAGTTTTTTATTCATAGATGTTCTCCACAGAGAAGTTCAAGTGGGGAATTTGGAGTCCAATGCTACTGTAACTTGTTCCTGACCAGTAGTTATTAAGAGATTCACTTTCCCCCTGATACTTTTCCAATAACCAATGTGCTTGACAATAAGGTTATTGTCATTTCTAAACATCCACAGGAAGCTCATTTGCTTCCAGTGTCAGGTTACTAACAAAATTCTAGAGAGAACAGGTAGAACCAGATCCAGTAGAACATGGATGGACAATGTAGTTGCTGTTTGTCTCCAGACCAGGTGGACAGGTTTGCGAGGAACTCCCTCTACAGGGGCTCCCTGACGCAGAGGAACCCAGTGGCCGCGCCCAAGACCAGGGCAACCTGTGCGGTATGACCCCACTCTGTGGTGCAGGGTGCAGTGAAGAGTTCATTTCCAAAATTACATGGAAAAAAGCAAGACATCTACTAGAAAAATAATAATGGCAAAATCTGAAATGATGGGATGGCCGGTTGTTTAAATGTCGATACTCTGTATCTCTGTATACTCTGTCTGTATGTCAAGTAGAGAACTAGAGACAGAGGCTAAAGCTGGATTTATGCTTCTGCTTTACGGGGCTACACTGTACTACAGTATAGTCAATATGCGCCTCCTTAAAAGGTGCTATATATAAGTTATCTCTGCTGCTGAATATGGTCTCTTGGAGCAGATGATGGTGATATTGGTCACCTGCCAAGAGCTTCAACTGTCATTATATTTACAAGCCAAGAGGTTAGAATACGCCCTCTGATCAATGCCGCTTCTTCATCCTCTCATGCTGAACTGAGGGCAGGCTGGACGCTACACTGACTCATTATTGCAAAATAGCATTACAAGTGAATAGAAGCAAAACAACATTGGTGTTGCTTTCCACCTCTGGAGACAGCTCTTGGTGAGTAAAGGAATGAAGTTTGATACTGAACCTTAGCTAAGTAGAGGTAACAAAAACTTACATATAGCACCTTTATAAATATATATACACATCAGGGCCACGGCATCACCAGTGATCCCACATGGGTTGCAGAAAGGACTGTGATTGGCCTCTTGAATTTCGCCATGTTTTGATTTGTTTTCTTGAGAATGAAGACAACATTAAGGAAGTTAAAGAAAGACTCTCGGAGATGAGATCAACAGCCGGACTCACACTCAGCGAGAAATATAAATATACCCTACTGTTAACTCCTTGCATTAAACCCAGCTCTAGCTTAGAATAAAGACTGACTCTGTCTAAAGGTCAAAAAATAACCCACCTACCAGCACCCCTGAAGCTCACAAATTAACACATTTGGAAGTCACTGCTTCTGGCCAAGACATATTCCAGCACATAACCTGTTACAACCTGTGCTTTTTACACTTCATTTCTAATGTGTTAATTACTGACCTTTGGAGATGGTGGTAGCTGGATTTTGTTGCCTCTAAGAAACTAATTCACTTCCAAATGGATCTGATGTTGGAAATGAACTCTTCATGTCATGATAACGCTGGGCTTCGTTTGCTTCTGCTGCTAGATCATCTAGTGGCTGGTTTCCAATCAGGCTTTGTGGTGGTTTGAAATAATTGCATTTTTTTTTTTTTTTTGCTTTTTCCTATTCAGTCAATGAATGTGCAAATTATTTGTAATTCTTGCATAACTGAGGTTGTATGTCCAACATGCAGACTTCATTCAAGCTAATAATAAACTGATTTCTCTTTAATTTTCTACACTTGGGAAAGGTAAGGATCAAATCTATTTCTGAGCATTTTAATTAATTGTATTGTTTTGTTATATATGCACATATATGTACATGCTTGCCTCTTTTATTTGCCTAATTTTAAATAAACCAGTGCATGGATCCTGCCAAGAGAACTAAGAACAATTGCAGGCTGAACTAGATGAGAAAGACTATTAGATAGATAAGTATGTGGCTATTTACTGTGATCTAAATTACCCCAATTTGTTTTCTACTTATGCCAATTGAAATTGTACACATGTGGCTCAAGGCTTGTCACTGTTTCAACTGCCAAGATTTCCACCCAGAAATCTTCTCAACTCTGAATGAGTCAGTGAATCAGTGTCTGTCTACTGAATAATAACTTGTCAAATGCTTAAACTTTGATCAGTCTGGGAGCCAGCCTGTGATTCAGTCTCCGGCAGTCCAGGACCAAGACACTGGCACATACACTGGTTTATGAGAACTGTCACTTTAATTTGATTATTATTGATTGCTTATGCAACTCTTTACACAGCAGTGCTATTTTTAAATGAATCAGTGGACAAAAATTGTCATTGTTATTGTTGAAATATGTTTATTTTGGGTTGATGTGTGTTCTCAATTTTCTTTTCTTCAGCATGAGTAATCATTCACAATCTCACATTCATAAGTTTAGCACAGGCATTATAGACCTGTTATGAATGATTTTGTGGCTAACAATCAATCAATTCATCCAATCAAATAATTAAGTGATTGATCATCTACTTGTTAATCATCAGCCAATCATTGCCTGTCTCTCTCTCTCTCTCCTTGCAGAAACCAGTAATGACACAGGGCTCATGAAGAGGAGGCTGACCATCATGTGACCGAGCAGTTTTTCTTGTCACCACATTTTGTTTATTACATTTTGTAATAAACTAAAAATCAGTAGTATGACTTTAAGTCTAGTTAAAAGGTTTATTATTTACATTTTAGAGACTGTCAGCTGGAGGGGGACTGTTTCAAGTTTTATTTAAAAATGTGTCCCTTTCACATTGTTACGTTATTTTACCATATTTATAGGATATGATAGTTACACATGATATGCAATAACAGTGCTAGGAGTGCATCTTATAGGGTGTACATATGATTTCTAGATTAATTTAAACTTATGTAAGTTGTTGCATACACCTTGTGTGCAAAACATTTACATTTTCCATAGTAATCTGATATCCTTATCTATTTATTCCAGTGTTCACACAGTGCAAATGGAAACATGAAATGAAAACATTTCCAGATTTAAGCAACATGTTAAATCTGGCATGCAGTTTTTCGTAGTTTGCCAGTCCAAAAACAGTACAATGATAAACTACCAATCAGTTTTAAATACTTTTACATTTCATATTATTTGATGCTTTGTTATATTTAGTTTATGGAAACCCTGAAAGGCAAGTAGCTTTTTTTCATCTGAAATTGTTTTGCTCTGAGAGGAAAGTGAAATTTTTTATTTATTACTATTTTTATTTTATTTTATTATTGTTGTTTTGTTTTTATGTCAGGATTTTTTTTAAGGGGTTTAAGTGTTTTTTGTTTGTTTGTTTTGTGTAATACTCATTCTGGCCACAAGAGGCTGACGTGCACCACTAAGTCTAGATAGGACTGAAAGCTTTCATGTTTCCATCAAGGTGGTTTTTAATTTCTCCAAGCACTTTCTAAACACAAGGTACATACAATGTATGTAAAAAATTGTACTTGCCTTTCAGATCTTCCGTTTAAGTTTATATGTTTTTCAAATATTTATTTTTTAAAAACCCTTATATAATTGGACATAACAACAGGAATTATATAATAGTATGAGCAGGAAGTTTAACTGTGCATTAAGGTATATCAGCTGTAATGTATGTAATGTAAAATAAAATGAGTGAAAAATGAACAATAAAATGAACAGAATATAGAGACATATACATGCAATTGGGCGCCCTGGTAGCCTAAAGGTTCAGACACATGACAACATAACTGTAACATATATGTTTTGCCTTTCGGCCAGGGTAAATTTTTGCTAGTCATACCCCACTTTCTCCCCATGTTTCCTGTCTCTATCTGTCAAATAAAGGCAGTAAGGCACAAATTGTCCTTTACAAAAAGAAATATAGTTAAAATTGTTGTATTGTGACATAATATCATAATATATCCCCATTATATTTGTGAATTTGATGCTTTTCTATATTTTTGTCCCAAAGAGAGATTTAAAGATTTAAAGTCTGTAATGAGTGGGTTTTTATTGAACTTGCATCATGGTGTGTTGTGACTTGGTAATTTGCCTGATATTTAGCAATAACATATGCACAGAAACAAGAGCCATCTATTTTTCTTATTATTTTTCAGTTTTTTTATATGAAGATGATTCACTAATGTTCTGATGGGTGACAAATTAAAGGAAACTGCTGAATAAATCATTGGAGATAAAGAAAATTGCAGATGCTTCCATACAGGCCACAAAGTGGTACTGAATGGTTTGATGAGGATGACAGTGATATGAATCATATCCTATGGTCTTTGCAGACACGGCTTTTCCTTGAATTAGTCATTCATCTGTAGATTTTAAATTGTATTCTGTTTTACTTTATTCTCTGTTATACAGTTTGAGATCAGCATTTGTACCACTGACGGAAATTTACCACTTCAGTGCCGACACTGCTAAATCACTGCTAAGCAGATTGTTTCAAGCCTATGTTTAATTACACATCTAATTCTAATCATGCAATATTTTTTTTTGTATTATTAGTCTTATTAAATTATTTGCAAACTAAACTAATAGTGTTTTTTTTTCCATTGTAGCTACTAATGTAGTTTGATTTTACATCTATAAGTTCACAAACAGCCTTCTCTCCAGTACAACTGATTTGCTTTTGTTACTTCTCCCTGTAGCAGATCTGCATTATCTCACCATAACCTGAACAAATCTTGCTTTTGTTGTTGATAGTGTCGGCATCTTCATATGCCAATCACATGACAGGCCTGTTGGTCCCTTGAATCCACTGGAGAAACTGCATCAGTGCGCACTGGAATAAAGCTTTCAAGGTCCTTAACACAAGCTGTTAGGAAGTGGGACACTGCAGGAAAGTTATTCCCTAATACACAGATATTAAAGTAGAACTACACAACATTTCCACATTCATAACATGCATTCATGATTTTGCTTTTAATGATGACTTTGGCAGGTGAAGTGCTGATACATCACGGCAGTGACTAAGTCTTAATTATTAGGATATTAAAATTGCCATGTTAAAGATTTTCTCTGTTATCCAACCACAAAATATCCACAGAGCTCTGTTGAGTTTCCAAATCTCAACCATGTCCGTTTTGGATTAGGTGGTTCTATTGGAGCCCTGTAACAAAATCCTTGAATCCAAATGCAAAAGGGAAATTTTCCAGATCAAAAGCGTCAATTTTCCAATGTAAATCTTGAGAGGTGGGTGACATCAGCATATCATCTCATCGCCGCACCTCCAGCAGGAATATAAAGGGATGGAGATGATAAACTAAAAACCGACAGAGGTGCATCCTCCTTATAGTGCAGGTGAGAACTCAATCACTGGCAACACTTTCCTTGTTTGTTGGTCACATACAATCAATAATTGCTTTTTCCCACTTATTGGAATTTATCATGTACTGTCAATTCACCTAGAAGAGGAGAAGGATTTGATCCGGCCAAGTCGTCGCTCCTGCACCTGCTCAGCTCCTGTGGCATTTACTGGGAGATAGTGAAGAAGCCAGTGAAGTTTGCTTCTGCAGCTCAGACATCCTACATTCATTTTTGCTGAGACGTAAGTCTTCATATTTGTTCAATATTCTTGTGATGTTTTTAAGTGAGTTGCAAAACCAGGTCAAGTATAATACAACAATGAATTCAAGTACAGCCAGAAAGTCAATACAAATAGTCTGCTGAGATTAAGGGAAAAAACTCTATCAAAAGTGATCTTTAAAAGCTTGATTTAAAATCCAGACTACACAATCTGCATGTTGTTTTCACCCTCATCCGTGTTCTGTCCCACTCACTCTCTGGCACAGTTTCTCATCTTTGCTTTTTCAATTTTCAAACATGGCTTTCATTTTGAGGCCACTGTGTCAGTGATGTGATCGATGACAGAAAATTACTGACAAAACAGGCAGCTTTGTATTCCACTGGCTTGTTGTTGTCACAGGCAGTACTGCCTGCTGTAGAAACTAATCCCTTTCTACTTTGTGAATCTGCAATGTATTTTTCTCTTGTAATTTCCTTTATCAGAGAGCACAGGATCATTTCAGAACCTGTATTTATTTTATGTGTGTCAGATCTGATGGTATTCACTATCAGTGGAGATACACCTTGACATTACAGACTGGAGTTGTGATTGATTTTATGTTTGTTTGTTTGTTTGTTTGTTTGTTTGTTTGTTTGTTTGTTTGTTTGTTTTGCTACAGGTGACGCTGCAATGAGGGTGTGTGCAGTACTCTGTGCTGTCTTGCTGTTGCTGAGTCAAGCTCTAAGCAGCTCTCATCCAGAAGGTTCTATTATTATCAGAAGTAAGGGATCCTTAACTAATGACCAAATTAAATGGAGACCCAATAAGCTCAAAATTAAATAACTGAATAAGGCATTATGCAACAAATAATATGATCATATGATTATCATCAATCATATGATTGAGTACAGACAAAATATTGAACTATAAAACACATCACATCATAATAAAACCTTATTTTATCCTGCTTTGTCCAGCTTCTTTTCACATTACTAGAGTTTATGGCCAATTTTTTTTTTTCAAAATGTACTTTTTCGCAAATATTTTATTTCTGTTTTACAAAGCCAGTTATGTGATTGGCTGTCAGACAGCTGTCAGACAGCCAATTACATTGTGTAACATTGTGTAATAAAATAAAAAAGATTAAATGAAATTAAAAATTAAAAACAAAAAAACACCACTTCAAATGACTTTAAATTATTACTTAAGAACTGAATGGTCATATGATACATTTTGTTTGAATGTGCTTAATGTATTTATTATAATTATTATTTATTTATTATTTAATTTTCTACACTTTATGTCTCCATACCTTTAACCCTATTGTTTTCATTAAAAAAAGAACAGATAGATGTGTTTTTTCAGTCCTGTGAGCTACACAAACTCATTTTTATTCTCCTCTATTGTTTTGGAGTGCAAGCAGAATCTACATGACTGAAAGTGAAGTGACAAAAAGCAACTATTCCTCCTCGTATATTCTTAGTATGTTTCTATTCGTCATTCTAGTATTGGACCGAATCGTATGACAGTTTGAAGTATTAAAATGACATTATAAAGGATACATTTTTATATGTTGTTGTATGATGTTTCAGGGGTTAAGTAATTCTTAGTAAATGTTGAAATCTGGGATTGGGATTTGTCTTCTCTTTTCATGTCTGTTTTTCATGTGTGTTGTTCAGATCCAGACATCGATGCCTCCTGGTATACAGGCAGAGGGATCAGGCCAGTGGGGAGATTTGGCCGAAAAGCTGTGAGGAGAAATGAGCATCTGGCTTTTGTCACAGCCAGAGTTTACAGACCATAGCTAACAGTGACAGCAATGTTTGAATCACAGTGAAACAGCTCTGGATGATGGAATGTCTGTTGTGTTCTCATTTTTCAGTGTTCACATTGGATTTGTTGCACTCTGGTGGGCGAATGGGCACAACGCACGCCACGTAACCACAATGTCTGTGGTTTCAATCCAGCCATTGATATTTGTCATGTCCCTTCTCTCTCTCCTCCATGTTTCCTGTCCGCCTCTTCACTGATAACTGTCCAATAAAGGCAAAAAATGTCCAAAAAAAAAAAAAAAAAAGATTAAGACTTATTTCAGAGTTGCATGTGTGAACTTTTTTGTTGTTTTTCTTCAATACAATGTCATGGTCAGTTTTAACATTACAAGCAGAGGGATACGAAATTACTTATATTGGTACCGTTAAAACAAGATCCATGAAAATTTGTCAACTTAAAGTCCCGGAAAGAGCTTTGTATGCAAATTGAATTAACTACATGAATGAAGAACATGAAATATTAAAAATCAGAATGCAATGTTATATCAATGTTTAGTTTGAATCCCTTAGCTTTTTAGAGCACTGGATGTACACTCGGCTGTAAAGTAGCACTGCACAGTACACTGTATACTGTGTTTTAGGATGGCGACCTCTTCAGTTGTGTACACTGAGAAAGTTCTTCAGGATCCTACAACTGTGGACCCACAGCTCACGAGTGTTAGAGCCTGTCTGGCTGAGCTGGAAGAATCCCACACAAACGAATGGCACAAAAATAAGGTGCTGATACATAATTTCTATAGAACCTAGTGGCTGAAATTATACTGATCTGTGAATGTACATGACATAAAATCTCTTAATTGTTTTGCAGCTTTTTGTTTTGTTTTGTTTTGTTTTGTTTTGTTTTGTTTTGTTTTGTTTTGTTTTGTTTTGTTTTGTTTAAATCAAAGCAAACCCACAGCCAGTGGTGATCTACAATAATTGTTCACACAGCCAATGATATTCAGTCAACATGCTAGCAGATTAGCTTGTTACTGCTAACTCAGCTAACCCTGGCAGCCGCATCACTATACACTGCACAGCTGCTGCTCGTCTTGGCTGTAGTACAAGGGCTGTGACAGAACATGTAGCAAGCAATACATGGCAGCCTCAGCAGGATAATTATCCAGGGTGCAGTAACTCTTCATGCAGTTCTTCATATGTAGTTTTGCCTTCAGATCAGTTTGTTCATTCAGCACTTCATACCTTTTGTGCACCAAAAACTCAATTCAGTCAACCTTATTCTCTCCCTTATTCATTTTCCCACCTTTTAAATGATTACCAGACTTCATTGTTTTATTTCCACTTGAGTTACATTTATATCTCAACAGTACAAAATTAAGAAACACTTTTGACTTTTGAGATCATTCAATAGGATTGCACAACATCTGCAAAATCTGAAACAGCAGAGCAGAGGCTTGTTTTTTATTCACAAGATTTATACACTCATAATGATAACCAAATCATCCCTTTTTTTGTTGCTGCATTTCATCTTCTCAATGTGAGGTGTTTCTTTGTCTCAGTGAAACTTTCAAACCAAACAAGGAGAAGCGGCCCCTCTGGCCCCACAGAAGCTTGGTTTCAATCAGCACAATAAAGCTCCTTTTCAGTGATGATTTGTTATCTAAGATCTGTGCAATGTTTTAAATCACAGAGCAGTAAAAAGTCAACACTTAGAAGCATCATGCAGAGAAACCCCTATGGAGTATGGAGAAAACATGAGAGAATAGTTTATATAGAGTAACTATAACTGCAGGGGAGAAAAGTCACTTTATATGGGAGCTTCAGTACGCAACACACAGTACAAAGGCCAAGAGTCTTTTCTATCCTAATGTTATTTATGAATAGGGACTTTATTTGTGTTATTAATGATTGTTGTTGTCATGTATAGTGATGTGTATTTTATCCACAGCAGATGCTTGAAAAAAACAATCTACATTTTTTAAGCACATATTAAAAAAGCATGCAACAGCGACACTTCCTGGTCTAAAAAACACACAAAAGAATTAATGCAGCTATAAAAAAAAAAAAAAATGGAGAAATGTTATATCTCCTTTTTGCAGTAGAAATGCAGAAATGTAAACTATTAGTTATGTTTTGAAAGTTTCCTGACATACAACAGTTTATCCATCTGATCAACATCTCAGCATCTCTGGTTTTAGTGCAGGTTGCCAGATACTCTGCCAGATGTCTCTGTACAGGTACATTGTTCAGAAACCTGAAAGCTCCTCTGTGACTAGACTTTGCCAAGAAATTGTTCCAGCATACAACCCCCTCTAAAATCACAAGCTGTTTTTTTTTTTACATTTTTTGTACTTGTCAACAAATATGATACAATTACATACATATGAGTTTTTAGTATTTTTTCATTTTGGACAGATCCAGCCTATCTGTTTCCCCTGCTTCCTGTTAAACTATTCCTTTAAAAACAATAATCTCACTGGTTCAGTTGACCATAAAGTTGGACTAAGGAATCAACAGTAAGACAAAGAGTCATACTAAGTAAAAATAGTACCTATTTTAGACATTTTAGAGTTTTCTTTATGATTACAATTATTCAAGTTCGGCACATTTTTGTGCTCTTTCAGTTCCCAGCCACCCAGGTTAAAATGAACAGCAGAATGCAGCTTATTGTTGCACAGTGGAAATCCATACAAGATTTTGGCAGTTAAAATACAATAAGTACACTCACTCAGATGAACTCTGCTTGGGAGACCACTGAGGCGTAGGGTCTAGAATATATGTAGGATGTAATATACACTCTTAGCTCAATAGCTTTTAGCCACAATAACTGTGAAGTAAAACGACTTCTCTAAGCCTTTTGGTGGATTTGAGAATTTTTTGATTCCAGCTGACCAACCTGGAGCGGCTTTAAACTGACCAAGACAAACAGAGAAATGAAGCAGGCAGCAACAGGATCAACAGTCACACAGGTCAGGGCCCAACTTTGCAGCAGGATGCAAAAGGAGTGAATGTGTCTCTATGATGCAGATCAATGAGTGGTGTCTCCTTCCACTCTGACAGACCTCCCTGCTGTCCTCCAATACACTCATACACTCTGTGGGCTGAACCAAAGCTCTGTTACTAGAGATATCACACTCGCAGTTGTATCACACAGGAACATGGGCATGGAACATAAACTGGGGCCGGTTGCATAAAACACCTTAAGTTTTCTATTTAAATATGACACTTTAGGTTTAATTTCTCCTTTCTTAAGGGTGTTGCACAGACTCTCTTAAAAAGGATTCCCTAGTTAAGGAAAAAAGTTAAGTAATTTACCGCAATGAAAGAGATTTTACAGCAGTAGAATTCTACTGTTTCCATGGAGACAGTTGATTTTCTGCTATTAGCACTTGTGATACCTATTATCACTTTTGGAAAGTTCATAATATTAAAGAAGATGCAATCTCATCTCACCATGGTGAACTTTGGTCTCTAAGGTCTTTTGTGAAACAACTGAACTGACTTTAAGTGATTCCTGAAATTTAAGAAAAGGATTGAGGATTAAATACTTAAGTGAACATTTTAAGGAAACCTTAAACTTAAGGTGTTTTGGGCAACCCTGGCACTTTCAAACTGCCAGTAAATCACAGATTGATGATGGTTAAGTACATTTGCTCCTCATGTTGGTATCTACTGCCCACTAGTGGTAGATGTGTGGCCCTGCCTTGGACTTTGGACCTTTATTCCCTGGTTTACACTCACCTGGAGACCCAAACAATAACCTTAACCTCCATAGTCTGTATTTGAAAGCATTTGATTGGTGGTAGGAGTTGCTTTTGAGGGCTTCACAACTGACAACACAACAATTTTGTTTTTGTAAATTATTCAACACATTCACTCACCTATACCTAGCAGCAGCTCACTGATTTGATCCCCTGACAGGACTGATGTCTCTGTAAAGAATAAACTCCTGTCACTAGCCAGAGCTTGCCCCTCCTGTATGATGACAAAGAAATCAGAAGTTGTATATTGATAGGGTAAGATATAAATATGACTATAGCTATTAAATGGGGATTTTGTTATTTTCTTTGTCTGTACCTGCACTGAGATTTGCCTCTCCTGATCCAGATCTCCCTTGTTGCCAACCAGGCACATGACAGTAGATCCTGGGATGTACTGTTTCTCCAGTTCTTTGAGCCACACTTGAGCTCTGACAAACGTTTCCTGTAGTGACACAAGCACACAATGGTACATACACCAGCCAAGATAAGCCAAAGTGAGTCATTTTAATGTCCATGTGTCCTTTTTACTCTTTTGCTGATATCATAGACCACGAGTGCAGCGTGGGCTCCTCTGTAGTACAGTGGGGTGACACTGTGGTATTTTTCTTGCCCCGCCGTGTCCCATATCTCAAAACGAAGAGTGACGTCACTCAGATGCACCACCCGGGTCAGGTAGGCACCTACAGGGGCAGATGGCAAAATGACAATGATATTAATTTATTTCCCAGTGAGTCTTTACAGGTGGTGCTGGTTTTGGGGGTATCAGCAGATCTAAATATATGTATGAAGCATGCATGTAACTAGATCAACACTTTAACACTGAAGGTCCTATATTGTATAAGTAAGATTTTTTGATTATAAAGCAGGTCCAGGTTCTATATTAATACTGTGAAAGTATCAAAGCGCTCAGTCCACAGTGAAATGCACACAGCCTGTATTCAGAAACTGAGCCTTAAAACCAGCCGTCAGGACTTCTGGAACATTGTGATGTCACAACAAAGCAGACACTTCTCTCAGCCATGCCCCAAGCCCCACCCACCTGGACCCAGCATCCAACCTTGTAGGTGCTATGTCCTGTCCTGATTTAGGTTATGTTTTCTGTTTCTTGTCATTTTTGGTTTTCACTTCCTGTTTCATTTTGGTGTTTGTCTAACCACTCCTCTCGTTCCGGATATGTGCTGCATCTGTGTCTCATTGTCTTCCCCTCCTTATATCAACCTTGTCTGAATTAAAGGCCCTGCCTCTGATTGTTGCCTCTGAGTCGTGCATGATGAGTCCTTATCCTATGTTTCTGTCAGTAGGATTTGGTTTCTCTGAGTGTTTTACCTGAAATCTACTATATTTTTATTTGATCACTCAGAAAACAGTCAGCCAATCAGAAGAGAGGCTCAGAGCCTCCTCTCTTCTGATTGGCTCACTGACCTGTTGTTACTAGAGCTCCAGAGAGAAGCCTGAGAGAGGAGAGGTAAACTACACTGAGATGGTTTTTGGTTCTTAAAACTACAAATATATGTTCTTATGGATCAACACTTCAAATAAAACACTGGAGAAGTGTAAATATGGACCTTTAAAGTTTGACATTTTGGGAAATAGGTTTATTCACTAAAGTTATATGAGATAATTGATATTACTCTCATGTCTGTACTTTATTTAGGCCTATGAAGCTACAGCCAGGAGACTGCTAGCCGAGCTTAGCATGGAAATGGAGGAAAAAGCTAGCCTGCCTTTTTCAAAATCCATGTGCCAGCATCTCTGAAGCTCACTAGTTAACATGTTTTATTGAATTTGTACAAAAAAATTAAGTGTTAAAATGACAACTTGTAGTTTTTCCATTGTACTTGGCCAAAAAATTGTCAAGCAAATCTCTAAATCTCTGTAAATCCATGACTGTGATTTTTGATTACACAAATGAGATATAGCATTTTAACCCTAATCCTAACCTTCTGACAGCCACACAAGCCACAAACAATCTTCAGGGTGTATAACTTACATATTTAGTGTGCAGACATGAGAATGACATCAATCTTCTCATCTAAGTCTCAGCAAAAGAGCAGATAAGCATATTTCACAAAATGTCAAACCATTTCTTCAAAAGAAGTCTTAAACTTATACACATAGAACTTTTCAGTATAAATGAATGTTTTGTGTGATATTAAACCACTGCTAATCCACAGCTCCAACCATCATGAACTCACAGCCTACAGTAGGTGATGGATTCTTGAACTCATCTCTGACAAATCGCAGTGCCAAACTTGACTTCCCCACACCAGAACTTCCCAGAATCACCATCTTAACCCTGAGGGTCCGCACCGGTCCATGCAAAGTGTCACTGTGGAGTTGAGCTCCTCCTGGCACCCTCGGGAGATTCTCCCCCATCAAAAGATTTAGTTAACTCCCAAACTGAAAGACACAACACAGGTGGACAAAACACAAAAAGTCCAGCAAAGTCCTTTGGCCCCTGATCCTGTAGGTGTTTTTTTCCTATTAAGAAGTAGCAACAACCGAGGAGGAGTTGATTCGTCGTCTTTGTTGTAGCAGTCTGTCTGTGCCTGCTTCAGCTTGGTTTACAGAAAATAAAAGTAAAACCAAAGTCCAGTCTTAACTTGTAAAGTGCCAACAGTGAAATCTCACTTCCTTGTGTGCTCTCACTACTGAGCCACAAAACCTTCCACACAGTTAAGTTAAGTTAAGTTAAGTTAACTATTTGTGCTCATCTCATTTCATACATGATTTTTAACTGTAACACTAATTGTCATATTTCTTGTTAATGACACTTGGGAAGATTTGTAAAGGATGCAAAAGAAACTGAAAAGCTTTTTTGAAATGTTGGTCTTTTTTCCAAAGCTTGATGTTGCTTCCCTTCTACTCAGCAATTTCAACTCAAATGTTACATCACAGATAAAAACCGAGGCTGTGTTCAGATTCTTTCTGATACACTTTAGAAGAAAAACAAGTCATTTTCAGACACTTTTACACAGCATGCCATCAACATTAATTTCCTGTATCAACATGTATTACTAAGTATTCTTTTACGGCCATACATACATACTGTTACTATATGCTATATACAGGAGATCTGCACAGGCTGCAGCTGGCTTGTTTTCTTCCTGTGTGTTTCTTGTCATGACATTGTATCAACACAGGAGGGCAGCATAGCATTTATTACAGCCTTGCTGCAACAATAAAGATATTCTTTTATGAAATACTGACACATTATATTTTGACTTTCAAAGAAAATTCATTGGCATTCAGAATTATTATTGTTAATCTGGCCCAAAAAGCACCACAAATACTAAATGCAATTATTTATTGAATAGTACTTATTTAGTACCTGATACTCATATAATATAATATAATATAATCAATACCATATTAATGGTAAATTAAAATAGATATAGATTATAGATAGATTATAACACAATTACACATCTCAGTTTCTCCAGTAAGAAAATATGACAGTGTGAGTATAACACCATCCGCCTTTTACCCCTTATGTAGTTGTGAGTCTGGATAAACCTTAACTCATACTACATTGGAATAACACGCTGGACAGTTTAAAGCATCATGTATAATTCAGCCTTGTTTAAATAAAAGTCAAAAGTTGTGTACCTGAAAGACTGCAAAACAAAGTAACTCTTATAGAAAATTATGAAAAGAAAAGAAACACAAAATAATAAGTAAACTGCATGTGTGTGTTCCGGAATTCCACACAATATTGATATGATATTAAATTCAGATGGGGACTTTAAAAGGTTTCTCTACATTCAAGGAATTCAAAATGATACAACAGTGATATCACAAGATATAAAAATATCTAATGAGGTCACTATAAACTCTCCCCAGACTGTGCCAGACACACTGTACTGGACTATTACATCAAGGTTATGGGATCTACATTGTGTTTGACTGGCAGTATAAAGCCATTCAACGCAGAGGTCTCGTCTATCTCTTTAAGAATCACAAGCCTGTTTTTGGAGCTGGCTGGTCATCATTAAAAATAGCAGAGGGAGTGTGAGAGAGTGCGATAGCCCATGCGGGAGCTGTGGTTTCTTGTTGAAACCAAAGCCCTGAACATGTATGGAGTCCCTTTCCAGAGGTTGATGCTGCATTCAAGTAGTTTGCGTAAAAAATCCTGACCCTGAAATTACACACATTCAAATGTTTTTATTTTAGATTCAGTATCAGTCATTCCTCTTATTCCACTTTGTTAGGGTAAAGTGAAAAAACTAATTTACAATTTGATAAGAGCTGCTTTTAGATGCTTTATTACACAAAGTGTTTGAAACCCATGATCAAAATATTCACACATTCTATCTGTGTAATTTATGGATGGAATTAAAGTGAATTAAGTAAATTATTCCCCTTCTTGTTGGAGCCCCCAGGAACCCCTTCAAGGACCCCCTGGACTCTGGACCCCACTTTGAGAACCAGTGCCGTAGATACTGCTGATTTTCCATTGTGGGTCCTTGTGGATATGATCTGCATTACTATAGTAAGCTATAAATCCGACATCACGTGAACGCACCTTGATTGTGTACAGGTTTTGAAGTTCTTGTCCCAGGTTCGAGTCTGTGAATCCGTCGCGTGGTGCTGCTAGATGAAAATGAAACCATTTTAATTGTAGTGTAGTTACAATTAAAGTTTATATTATTAATGTGGGTGTTTATTTTATGTCTACAGAGTGACAGACAGGGGTGGGCTCGGTTTAAAAGGACCGTGTGAATCTACAGTGAGGGAGTCTGACTGAATATGTCAGTAAACGTCTCAGACACGCACGTGGGGCTGATGCCAGGCACAGTTTGAGCCAGACTCAGTCGCGAGCTGGTGCGCGTGGTTACAGGAAGAAGTGTTAAAACGGATGTATGACAATGACCCGTGTTGAGAGCGCGACCAGCCGCGGTTTGTTTAATCTCTTCGTCGTTTAACGTGACATTTTAGCGACACATGAGACCCAGTTTTGCCCTATCTCCGGCTCTGTTTGGATTACTCGGTCCGCTGCTGGACTGTTGAAGTGACTTTATCTGCGGCGAGTGGATAACTACTGTCTGAGAAAACATGGGGACCCAAGGTACAGGACGGAAAAGATCCACCAAGAAGGAGAGGTCGACGGCGGAGGACGATGCCCTAAATCTTATAGCGAGAGAGGTGAGCGGAGAATTTAGTCTAACGTCGAATAAGTCCTTCCTGTTGACTCTGAACAGAGTGAAGAAGGAGTCCATGAAGTGGTCTTCCTCCTCAGCCCACCTAAAGACCACCATGTATAGCCCTATGTAACATATGACCCCAATACCTACATTTTTGTTGCTAGTGACCGAAGTTTTTACAATTTCCACGTCTAAAATCATACATTTTTACAGGCTTTACTCAGTTAAACTCTAATTTCGATCACTATCTTTAGGTAACTATACTTTTCGTGACTTTGGTTTGGCAACATTTAGTTGTCATCATTTCTGAACATTTTCTAAAGTATGCCCCAAGTTTTTAGATTGATTTCCTGCCTTCCAGGAAACTCTTGGTTCTTTTTTTAAATACACTTTTTTAAAAAGTGGTTATCTGATATATACGAAAATATGAAAAGAACACCTGAATGGACCGTCTAAATAAAGGAGTAGCCAATTAGTATGAACATAATAAAAAATGTATGCCTGTATAAGTAGCCTATAAATTGGGAAAAAACTGATGAGAAAAGTCTGTCAAAAGAAATACTGTGATATATTTTTTGCACATGCATCAAATCCTGGCTATGATAATTATTGTTTTATTGTAGAGAAAGATCTATCTGTTCTCCAGACTGTATGAATTGCAGTGCTGCAGCAGCAGCTCTGAAAAGCATGACCCACAGCAGATTAAAATGGTTTAAATCTTTCATGTGCTAACCTGCTGGAGTTATTGTGCTTCCCCTCAATAATGCAGGTCTGGAAACTCTGTTGTTTCTAACAGGTGGTGAAGTCATGTTGTGACAGGTTTACACTGTTTCAAGGTTTCTAATCTCTGTATTATGATGAGTCTAGTGTGGCAAAAATAATGCCTAGTGTGTCTCTGAGACTTAAGTCGCCCTGTTTGAAGTGTAATACCCTGCACGCTTTTGTCTACACTTGTGTGTCTGAGGTGTGAAACATCAACATTTCAGTGTAATTTTCAAAAAACAAAGCAAAACCTGACATTTATTATTATGAAGCAACATTATGCCTCTACCTTTGAGGATATATTGATCCATATTTGAGAAATACTGGGCAGTGAACAATAAATACATTTTTTCCTTACTGCCAAAAATGCATTTCCAAATGATTTAGTGAGGATCCTGCTGCCTGTACTCAGAGAATTTTTTTTTTCATAAAAACCTGAACTCTACTAATTCAGAGCAGCTCTGACAAGCTTTCTTCAGTTGGGAGGAAGTTGGGTCTGTGCTAACCCAACCCGGATGTTTCAACAAATTTGCATATCAATTTTAACTGTCACGCACACCCTGTGTAGTCATCACTTTTTTTAGCTGTGAATGGCTGTGGTAACGGGCCTCAACACAGCAGAGGTCTGGATGTTTTGCATGTACTCTTCTCTTTACTGCTTAGCTAACTATTTACACTGGAGTAGTGTGTCTGAGGTTGCACATTCCTGTAGCTGGTAATCGTTTCTTGTTGTAGTCTATTTGGAGTGGCAGGACTGTCACCTGGCTGAGTATGAGGAGATGAGGAGTTTGCTCAGGCACAGTCAGCAGCAGCAGCAGATAGATAATGTCCAAACAGGAGATTCCCTGTGCTGGATGAATCCTCATCTGTTTCTAGTTGTACTGAGTCACAGCTCCAGCAATAAAACATTAAATGCTGCCAGTTCTGTGCAACAAAGAGAAAGTCTGTGCCTTTAAGTAGCATAGGGGTCAAGTCCCTCACTGGCAGTCCTCTGACAGGATGGTATGTCGGCCCTGATGAGTTGGCCCATTCTGAAAAAGAGTTTTAAAAATAGATGCTCCTGAAAGATCAGCTGTTGCTGCACCCCAGTTTTAGATTGGGTGGCTGTGGGTGGGGGATGGGGATGGAGGTGGAGGAGGAGGAGGGATGTGGCTCACCAACTGGCCATTCTGCCAGCAAGAAAATGGAAAATCTGCTTGGAATTGATGGGCAGTGTTACAGTAAGTTAAAGTTTTGGTGCATCAGTGTCGCGTTGCTGTTCTCACTTTAGAGAAACTGCTAATGCTGTAACCTGGATCAAATGGGAGGAGACCACACAGCAGGAAAGAACGTCCTCACTGAATACCACAGTGTTAGTGATTCTGCACTTAAGGGAGTTGGTTCCCTACATCTGTCAAACAGTTTAAATCCACATTATAAACATTCCTTTGTACTGCAGCGTGAGGATGGCACACTGTAGATGAGCTCCGCTACTCTTAATGTGAAAAAGTTGGGCAGTGTTATTACATTACAATGAGTGATTGTAAAAATCATGAATATTTGTCCTACGATCAAATTAATTCACAAATATTGTTTGGGCTTTAATTTTTGTAATGGAGGATGGCATTTGGTGGAGTTAATCTGACCTCTTCTGAAGCATTACATCATCATCCACCAACCAAAATGAGTTTCATTTTGATATTCTCTGACTCTGTAAAATTGAGTCCTATTTTATGACAAATAGAGGTAACCTCAGGGATAATTTATAATCTGATTTCACAAAGAATCAAGCATACAATAAATATTTGACCAAACCTTAGAGCCAAACACTCAGTGGGAGACTAATATTTCAAGAATTGACCGGGAACTATAAGTGTTTTTAGCCCACTGATGTAATCAAGAAACCAGGTGGTAGCAGTGGTGAAGCGTCGTGTATGTGTGCGCATTAAAGGCCCTTGCACACCCTCGAAAGTGTTTTGAATAATTATGGCTGATTAAACGAAGCTTTGAGTCACCTGAGGTCACCTAACCTAATGAACTAATGACAATGTGAAAAGTGTGACAGACAGTCTTTCACAGTCGGTTACAGAAGGACAAGTACAGGTGTCAATAGTAAAACAAATGATTGCTGAATTCCATGTAGCTGCATTAGACTCAGGGTCCTGGTGTTGTTCATGCTAGGCTCAGATGATATCCAAAATGTAATGTCTTGATACAGTCCAGCCCAAATAGCACAATATTATTGCAGGGGGGAGTTAGTCATATCATTTTGTTGTTGTATCTCATGTTAAAGTTGTGTTTATTTTATTAATATATATTATTATATTGTTGTATTTTATGTTTCAGGTGTTTTTTTTTATAATATGTAACTGTATTCATGTATTTTATGTTTCAGGTAAAAGCGATGTTGCCACGAAAAAGCTGTTTAAAGTTTTATTTGTCAAATGCCAAGGTACAAGATACAGTAAGCAAAGCAGTGAAATGACTGCTTATGATTATGAAAGATATCGCATATGGCGGGAAAATTTGATATTATTATTATTATATTACTTGATATCAGTCAAGCCGAGTTCATGCTGGCTCATTGTCGCACTGTCATACGTTACATACAGGACACTTGACTAGAACAGAGCCGTCATTAACCCTTTGCTTTTACTACTGTGACTAGTCTAAACATCTACAGTGAAAAAGGTCTGTTTGTTCTGCCCTACAACTAGCTAACAGAGTTAGGGACATGTCAGTGTAGAGACTGTACACACCCACATAGTCCTGACTGAAGGTCTTATCAGGAAAGTCTCCTGTGGGTTTATTATGGATGTACAGGGTCTTTAAATCAAGGCACTAACTGCTTATCAACCAAAGCCTCAGCCTACACTACAGATTAGGTGTTACCAACCTGACTCATGATTTCCACACTGCATATTCTATGTGTTTGGACAAACACAGTGACTAGTGGCCCGCCCATTTCTCTTTAAAGACAGTGCGGCTAATTGTAGCTTTTACCAATGTCAACCAGATCCATCTGTGGAGAAGCACTAGCAGTTTAAAGCCAATAATTCCCAATAAAACTTAGAGGAAAATGCAGCCAGGAGAAGAAGAAGCCTATGCCAGGATTTGTTCAAATCTGCAACACCAACAGATTACAGCCACGAAACACACACTGACATATTGTTATTACTTCTAAACAAATTTTAAGTTTCCTGAAATAACATAACATGATACTGTTAACACTGTTGCAGCATGGTTTTCTAGCAGCACAGTCAGTCACTTGTTTGGTTTTAGAGTCTTTTGGTTCCAGGAGCGATATCTGTTGATGTTTACCAAACCAGTCAGCTGTGTTGTTCACCCTGATGAGCAGTAGCCAGCTGTAGCTTCTGGGTTTGGTTTATTTACCAACTGGTTTATCGTAAAGCTCTGAGCACAAGGACGCAATTTAGTAAGAATGATCCAATCAAATCAAACGCCCACATGCTGGATTGTTCTGTTAGGTTGCTTGTGTTTGTTTAATGAAGGCTACACAGATGAACCACAAATCTCTAAATAGTCCGGTCTGATTGTTTTTGTAGTTGGAAAGTAAGAGTGAATAGTCCAAACAGGTTTTTGTCATCTGTTTTTAGCCGCTGTGTCTCTGGGTCTGAGTTCTACAGCACAGAAACATAATGAGAGCGCATTAAACCTATACAAACACTTGGGCTAGGATGCTAAGATCACTAACTAGCAACTAATTTAGCAGTTTAAGTAATGCTAACATTTTCATGCAGCCACTCACTAACTTTCACATTTCTCTGTACGATACAGTTTGTTATCTAACATGTAAATTTAATTTACAAAAGGACAGACTTATCACCTGAAATGATTGTTGCCAGGTGTCAAGCTGACATGAACCCACTGGAGAACAGATGATAATCTCTCACTGAGAAACATTAAACAACAAATAAAAAAAAATACAGAACAAAAAGTACAAAAGATAGTACAAAATATTCAGAAAAATTAAATAATAATGATTTAAAGGCTGTTTTTATAGACCTTTATGTCCACTAGAGAGCTATAGTTAATCATCGACGTGTATCATGTGCCATGGAGATTTCCCCTCAGTTAGGTGTCAGGTATTGATTATCACAGTAGTGATAACAGTCCTGGAATTTGGCCCAAGGCAGACTCTTTCTTTCTTGGAAGCGTCTGGTTCAGATTCAGTCACAGTGTGTTTTACACCCAGAGATCACACCCAGATGTGTCACAGTGTAAATCTAGACGAGTGTG